GTCATCAAAACATTCACCCCCCCGTACAGTGTGAGCCGATCGAGACATGAGCTAGCATGAGTGTCCTTGGGCAAGACACTTAACCCTGCATTGGTCAGGCTGCTTCGGTAGCGTGTATGAATGGATTAGTGTTCTACTTACTCTCTGTTGTACGTCGCTTTGGATAAAAGCGTGAATTGTAACATAACACCAGCTCCACATTGTGTACGCATGCTTGCTGTTTGAAATTATAGGTTTCCTTTAGCTCAGAATGAATAAAGTAACTATAAAGACAATGTGTTGCTTTGGCTGAACAGACAAAGAGTGACTTCCAAATCAAAACAAACCAAACCCTGAGCTCGCTCGACAAAACGCCTGCAGGTTTTTGATGACTCAGCCTTGTGACAGTGTTTTGGGACAGGGGGTCACAAAGGTGCTGATATCTGATCCCTGCTAATCCAATCAGGTGATACGAGTCAGTGACCTCTTCTCCAGGCTGGACTGAGCAGCTTATAACGGGAGCTCACGGGGTCTACATTTAAAATAACTTTGAACTTAATCACTACTTTAAATCATCAGTCGAAAACTGGAGCGTTGATCTGATAAATCGTCCTGAGAGTCGTTTTTTCAGGTGCATTTACATAATGTATGCAGCTTTTGAGATATGTGTGCACTCTGTGTTTTTATATTTCCTTCTTCACTGTTTTTATGTGATTACCGGTTTTTAAATGTATTTCAAAGTGTTATTAAAGTGTTCACATGGACATGAGTGTCCCTGTTCTGAGTCTGATCCTGGTTCTGATCACCTTCAGGACTGGAGTTTACATTCAAACAGAGAAACCTGGCTCTTCCTCTCCCTGTTTACATGATAAATACTCGTATCCTGCTTTCTGATTACTGCATCGTATTTGTTCAGGCGCCGTACTCGCTCCACTGTACGTGTTGGGAAACCGGCGTCCTGCATCCTGTTCACCACAGACTTGAACCTGCATGTTGAAGTCTGACTTCAGCAAAGTTTCACGTCCTTTTTAAGTCTTCTTGATAAAAACATCACAGAACATAACCAGATGTAACCGGTTATTTCTCTTCTCTATCACAACTCCTTCACTCCAAACCCTCGCAGCTCTGAATCGTCTTTGACTGGTTTCTGTCAAACTCTGGAAATAAATCAGTCCGGATGTTAATGTGGGGAACGAACATCTCTCAGAGACTTCGATCTGTCCGTGTTATATTCCCTAAATGGAACCTCGCATGTCTCACACATGTTAACTTGTTTGCGTCATGGCATGGCTCATATAGCTGCGTGTCACATGCTGGGTTTCTTTTGACCGACATGAGAAAACGTCTCCTTACTCGTGTTTTGTGACCGTTTGTTTGCGTGCTTGTACATCCCTGTAGCTCAGACGGGGAGGGGGCATCTTTCCTTTCAAACATCGGGAACTGCGGCACAGAAGAGTTCAGCAGTGTCGTCTCTGCCTCCCTCTCGATTCATTATTTACGAGTGACACATAGAAGCCGGGTTTCTTGTTTATTTACAACGTCTTGGTAGAAATAGGACAGGCTGGACCTGAACACACAGCCACTGCAGCGAGGAGCACAACCTCTGCTGCACATGTTGTCTTTTGCAGCACTGGTACGTCGTTTGGAGATTTTCCAAAAAACGGTTGACTCCATCCAAATGCACTTGTCATGGTCTTGACCTCTGATTGTGTGACGTTCTTTTCAGTATTTATAGAGTTTTAAGTTTACAGTTATGTTCATCTCACAGGTAAACACAAAGTGAAAGTTATTAACATAAAGGTAAAAATTAATCAGGGAAATGGACTCTGTTGCTCTGTCTGCCATCTTGAATTTCACATCATCCTTTTGACGTCATGATTTGTCTCCTTTGACTCCCCCTCCCTCCCGCCCTCCCTCCCTCCCTTTCTCCCTCCGGTCCGACAGAGAAAATATCCCGCTGTGAGGGACGCGTCTAGAAAAGAACGACTCGAGAAGACGCCAGGAGCCGCCCGTCAAGTGTGAAAAAGTTTCAGTCCTCAATCAGCTCAATGTAAAACCAGTGGGAGTACAAAAGAAGAAAAAACAGTGAGTGTTGACTTCCTGTTAAAGATCTCCGTTTGATTTGTTGTACTGTGTGGGGGGGAAGTCAGTACAGTTCATGTTCTTGTGTGGAGCTACAGTTGGATCCCAGCCATGACGAGTGGATCACAGAGCGACCAGCGAGAACAGAACGAGTTGGAAGCATCAAAGACAAGTTTAAGGTTAGCGTGTTGTAACCTTTAAAGGCAAGTTTTACGTGTGCTGAATTCGCCACATAAACACTTTACATCTTTTCACTCCGGCCTTTGTTTAACGGATCAAAGAGACCCCCCCCCCCTCAGGGAACAGATTAGTCTTTCTTTTATCTTTCATCAGCCTCTCTTTCTTCTGTGATGAACAGATACAAGGACTCAGGAATATGAACTTAAGCATTCATTATTCACTTTCAAAGAGGAACCATCTTACTGAACCTTTTTTGTTGACATTCGTCTAAACCGTCTTCATGCAAACATGAAGAAACACACCACGCCGCTCTGAGATACTTCAACAAGATTTAAAAAAAAAAATGTACACACTCGATAATCTTTTCTCATGTGAACGAAGTCTGTAGTTTATTCAGAATATGGAGGAAAGGGAGGCGATCGAGCATGCCCACAGGTAACCCAGCAGCAGTTTAATTCATGAAGGCTGTAATAATGGTGCGCTCCTTTAACCTTTGAACTCAGATCTCTCGGAGCTGGGACGTAACATCAGTGTTAAGTGCGTTCCATTAGCGAGTTTGCAACAGGTAATACCAGGCTACATAGAACTTGCTGATACTATCGGTGTGATTGATTTAATTACACAAACAGGACTAAGTTGATAATAAACACTTTAGTGTGCAGCCTAAACGTTACTGTTGATACATGTAGCAGCCATTTTGGATTGAACTCAACTACTGAATGTGCTCTGAGTTTCCAAGACAGATTTCTGACTTCAGGGTTGCTCATGAAATGTTTTGATGTTCTTCTGAAGGAACAGTTGAAGGATTGAAAGACAGAGGGATGGTTTTGATTGGCTGCTGAGTTCAAATATAAACACATCTTCTATACTGACCGTTAAATAAAGCACATTGCTAACCTTGTTCTGAACATATAAACATCTCTCCACCTCAAACCAACACCACCCACAAGTATCAGAAGCTGTGGGGGGGAAACAGCCTCTTTGAAGTCTCCCGGCTTTCATTCCCAGCAGCCTTTGCTGTGGCCACACTTCTCTGTGCCGACTCTTTCAGATGCAAAGTGAGAACAAACATCAGCAGCGGCATTCACTCAGACAGCGGCGCCCTGAGGGGAATCAGTGCTGATGAGTTTATGGTGCTGCTGGGATCTCTTCTGTAACCGCCTCGAGGGCGAGGTGTGTGTGTGTGAAAACAAACAACTGGTTTGTTTGTGAATGTGAAAACCTTCTCCAGTTTCTCAGAGCAAACCTCCATGCAAAACATTTGCTGGTGTCAAGGATGCACACCGCCTAACCCCTTACCCTTAATCTAACCTCTTCAAATGTTACTGCCGGGTCAGCGGCTGATGACTCTGAGGATGTTGGTACCTGAGTCGTTTCGGTTTTGTGGTGACTGAAGGCCCGCGTGCAAATGGTTCACTCTCATCTGTGCAATTTCAGCTGTTCCAAAAAAAACAAAACAATGGATGCTCTGCTGCCTTTTCCTCTATCCTACAGGAGTTTCTCTGTGCTGCTGTGATGAGAACACGGATCAATACGGACAAAACAACAAAACATTCAACGAGGGCAAAATCTGACAAATCAGGTTGGACCGTAAATCCTTAGTCGGGGTCAGACCCAGAAAGATTATATTCTACCCATGCAATGAGTCATTCAAAAAGAGAACAAGCAAAAGGTCATGATTTAAACAGAAGATGAAAACACAGTTATGAAGGCCTTAAAGTCTGTCTTTTTAGTCGTGATCACTCCACTCTCTCTGAAGAGACAAACGCTATCTGTAGGCCACGCCCCCATGTGTGTTACATCACCAGAAAGCCCAGGATGCACTTTTCACCGATCACAATGACTCATATTGACTGCCCGCATGATATTTGAAATAAAAGCTTCGGTGTCATGTCCCCAGCAGAGTGTCTTCTGAGGTGAATGAGTCCAGTTTTGATAATCTCTTGTAGGTCTGAAGTGGCACTCCAAGAGGATCGATTTAGTTATCATGGCAACTTGTGCAATGTGTCTTGTGGTGTGTAGAAAAACATATTGAAATGTTTGTTTATAAAAAATGACATTAGATCACAAATTTTGTTTTCCAAGACACACAAAGGCAGAACGTGAAGATTGCCCGTGTGCACATTTGATTCTGTACGTCAATCGCTGTTGCTGCGTTCAGCTTTCTCTTCTTCTGATGAGCATCGTCACAGAGGTATTTCTCCTCTGACTCCAGGTGGCTGACCCCTCCCACACTCAGACTGAGGCAGCTTCCACCGTTACATAACCATTCATTAGGCGGCGGTGCACTCGTCTGCACGGCCTGCCATGTGAAGATACCCGACCACTCTGCTGCTAGAGCGACACAAACCTCCAACCTGCAACACTGAACATCTTTCCACACAACTGACTCATTAATTAATTAAAAATGTACCCGCATCAACGAGCATGAAAAAGACCCCAGACTACTCAGAGCTGGGAGTCCTGCCTCGTGACACTTCGGCGTTCACATTCCCGTACGTCACAGCTCAGGTCACTTTTAGCACTCTGCTAATATATTGATCCCTCTGTGCAGGCCCGTTTTGTCCTCTTACTGATTGCTGACGATTGCATCTCGCTGTCATATTGTGTTTCCAGATCAAAGGGCGAGGTCACTAGCTGGTTAGGCCGTTGCTTGTTAGCTAATGGGGTAAGCTAGCGGTACGACATCATGTAAGACGCCACTTTCATCAACCAGTGTGTTTTTAAAGGTGCTGGTAGTTTCTTTTGCTTCCTCTTACCTGCTGTTGAACTTCTCAGGGTGCTTTTCTCTCATCAGGTGAAAGCGATGGGCAATGGAGGCGTCCTGCAGGAAAGAGCAGAAGATAAAGACGACTTTAGACCTTCAGGACGATAAACAAATGACACAATCACAGACTGCTGAGGAAAACACACAAAGAGAAATACAATTTTATGACTCAAGGACATTTTAAATTACTATTATGCATCTGAGTGGCTGCAAGGTTTTGGCTGCCTTAAAGTGGCAATATGTAACTCTGACCCCTAGTGTTTAAAATGTGTACTGCAGACTGAATTCTAAACATTGAAGAGTGATGTCTCCCCCTGCTCCCTCCTCTCTAGATGCTCACGCAGGTTGCCATGTAGTGGACACTGAAGCTTCAGTGTTTAGCCAGCTCTGCATCGGTCTGTAAACCTTTCTGCGTTCTAACCTCTCTCCATTTTTCAAAAGCATCTCCAATATTGATCCTAGTTTGAGCACGTTTCTGCTCGTGGAGCTTATTAGAAACATGCAGAGGCTTTTTAGGTCGGGTACACGCACTTCTATCTGAACCAGTTCTCTTGCCCGCTTCCATCACTGCAACACCTGTTGGTTTGACCTGATAACTGCTCTCATATCTGGCAAACCGAGGGGCGTCTAAAACGGCCGTGTGGGGGTGCCTTAAAGCCGTCTACCTTCTCTGGTCCAAACAAATCCGGGAGCATTCAGGACCAGAATCTAAAGTTAGAAGGAGGACATACTGACTGCTGCATTGTTGTCAGAGAAGCCAGCGCTTCAACATAGCGTGTTTCCTTAATGTCTGATCATATTGTCAGGTCACTTTATCATTTCACTCACTACACATCTTACTGATTGGACCTGAGTGTCTCTGTCTAATATCTATTAGCACATTAACATATCATGATATGTATTTCCTGTGTGGACTCTTGTGTCTCACCAAATTGCCCCTTGGAGACAATCAAGACTGTCCAATCCAATCCTATTAAAGCGGTTTGACAATGAAAGACATGAAAGGATTTGAGCTTGACTGTTTGAAATACCAAAGCAAACTACAAACCTTTTATAGGTACACAAATACACTGATCATCATTTTCAACCCTTCAACATTCAATTTTTATACCTGCCACCTGATCTTTTACTCCAGACACAGGATTAAAACACTCGATTGAACTAGTGAGTAGAAACATCTTTTATACAGACACCTCCCTCAGATGAACAGCTGGTTGTAGCAATATCATAAAGATGCTAACTCAGCAGTTTTTATCCATGTTTTATTGTCTGTTTTCTGAGCTCAGAAACCTGTCTACTGCAAAACAGTGACATGAGGTGAGTCTGGGCTCTAATGTCACTGTGACTCCTGGTCTAGTTCAGTCCGTTGTTGGACCACAGTGTAAAATAAAGAATTAGAGTTTTGACTCATTGCACAATGCAACGTTTAACAAAAGGTCACAAGTTGCTCGCAGCAGAGGTCAGACTGGACCCGGCCCCTCCCGCTCCTCTGAGCCCCTCCCATGTGTTTAACCCCTGACCTGAGGGGTCAGAGGTGAATGTAATCCTGATCAGTCACAAGAGCCTCAGAATGACCTCACTTGTGCTGTTTTTACACATGCACAAAACTCTTTTCAGGACTCTTTTATTTTTGAATATATTGCCCGATTATGCAAATGAGCATTTAAGATTTAAAGACACGTTTGTTTGTGCATCTTTCTACATAAATGTGTCTGAAATATGACTGTCACACCTTTAGGACTGATTGTAGTCTCAAGTGAATGATGTTGTAAGAACATTAAGGCTACAGCAGCAAACAAACATCCAAAGTAATACTTTGTATGGGCTGCAGTGGGGTTAATACACACAACCATGCAGCAGAGATTTAGACACTTTGTGCAGATGTCATCAATTAAAGAGAGCAGCAGGTTGAGTTTGAACAGAGCTGCTTTGTCTCCTCTCAGGCCGGAGGCTGAGATCCATTTCATGCAGATAAATACCATCTGACACATGTAAGTTCAAGATGCATGGGTCGAGAGATTATATCGACTTTATGTCAGAGGAGTTACATATGATGGTCCACAGGTCCAGAGAGAGAGAGAGGGAGAGAGAGAGAGGGGGGAGAGAGGGAGAGAGAGAGAGAGAGAGAGAGCGAGAGAGAGAGAGAGAGAGAGAGAGAGCATGGGGGATGTAAAGTGTCACTGACTGTGGAGTCAGTAATGAAACCAACACACGACACCAAAGAATACAACTTATAAAACTTAAAGTTAGAACTACAACTAACATCGGAGTATAATTCACAGATTGACGGTCCTGTGGAAGAAAAGAAAGGACGAGTTCAACTCTACAACAGGATACAAAAGAAGAAGACCGCTGCACAGATAACAGGATTGATAAAACTCTAAATCTGTAAACTTGCAGGACATTTATCTTTAAAGGAGCAGTATGTAACTCTGACACCTAGTGTTTAAAATTGGTACTGCAGTCTAAATTCTAAACATTGTAGAGAGCTGTCTCTCTCCACCCCCCCCCCCCCCCCTAAAGTCGATGCTCACGCAGGTTGCCATGTGGTGGACACTGAAGCTTCAGTATTTAGCCAGCTGAGACCTGAGACCCTCAGCACCCTCTGCATGCAGAGTTTAGTGTGTATTTGAAACGCTAAATCTCTAGTCTGCACAAACAATTTCCCTTTTTAGGTACCGATAAAGAGACCGTGAACCCTGAGGTGGAGACATGTTGTCCATCTTTATACAGTCAATGAGATAAGGTCTGTGAATTCCAATCAAACACAGACTTTGCATTAGTGTGACTGGGCTGCACATGGCAGGTAACGTCAAAATCCTGAGGTCTTCAAATTAAACTATTCCCATGCAAATATGACTTTAGTCTGAAAGTTTGACCTCAATTAGTGCTCAGAGCCGGTGACAGAGGTGTTCATTTACACCAAAGTCTTTCATGCTGCAGCTCTGACAGGCTGAAGCATCTGTGGCGACATCCTGACACCCCGCCTGCCCGTGCAGGTGTTTCAACGCTCTGCAGAACGGAAGCTTGTGACAAGACAGGTGCACAGCTGATGTAATTAAACGCATCCTTGCTTGCTTGTCACCCTCACAGAACGTCCACGGGTGCTACTGGCCCGCTGCAGCAGCTCACCTCCTCTCCCAGACACACGCGGCGATGTGCTGAGATCTCACAGCATCAGCACATATCGAGCTTTAAATAGAGCTGCTGCTTCGGCCAGACGAGGAATCTGATACTGGACGCCGGGGCAGTGAGGAGACGTCACAGGTGAAGTGCTTTTCTGCACATGAGACTGACTTTGCCGCACAGAGAGAGCAAAATCAAAAAGCGGATTCTCTTGGCAAGGTTACTTCATGTAACAAAAAGCACAAATAATAGAGGAAAACACGGGCACAAAGACGGCGCCCGAGGAGCAGTTGTCATGTGTGAACGGCCGCGCTCATCTGCTCTCAGTCCCACCCTGCAGGCCATCTCTGACCACCTCAGTTTTTCTGCTTTCTGTCGCCCTCAAATAAAATCTGTCTGTAACGATTTGTGACATTTGCCATAGCCTATAGTTCCCTGCGTGATGAAGGTTGTTTTGATATTGCCGTTTGAGGGTTTTGCACGTGGTGTGAGGGCAAAAAAGAGGTGCTGTGGGATGGATGTTTTTTTAAGTAGAGTAGAAAATAGTGGGACTAGCAGCAGAAAAAAAATGAAAACAACCAAAACACCGGCTGGAAAATGTCACCTAGAGCAAATAAACTGTCTGCTCTGCCCTGTGGGGTGAATCATGGCCGATGGGGAGAGGTTTGGTTAGCTTAATGTCAGTCAAATGTCACAGTCAGCATCAAATCTCTCCTATCATATTCTCCAGTCATACCAAGAAGCTAAGGTTAGCGTGCATGATAGAGAACACGCTCACCATACTCTACATCATTCAACTCATCTTAAAATGTGACTCTGACTGAATTTACAAAAGTCACATCTTCAAGGCAGTGTTTGTCATTCCCTCCAGATCCACTTTTTAAGATTTTGATTGAAATTGTCTTTAGGTCCTGACAGAAATTAATAACTCATGTTCTCTGAAAAAGGAACAAAGAAAATCTGTCATCTGTATCAGTTGTAAGTCTCTAAAAACTTCCACCAATGTCTGCCACGAGGTACCAATCTGATGAACCAATCACACGCCTCCCTGTCTCCCTGATCGCTCTCTACCTCTTGCGTGCTCTAGCCAACACTCAAAGCGCAAAGTTTCTACACAGTGCAAGAGATGAGCTGAGGTCCACTTCTGGAGAAACGGCGCTCGGGCATGTAAGTGAGGGGGCGTGGCTTTTTAGGGAGCACAGAGGGGAAGGGGTGTAGACGGAGCACTGAGGGACTTTCAAAATTATGCTAGATTTAGAAAATGACCAACCTGCCTTTAATTGAATATGTTTTCTGGAAACAGTCGGGATTTTTCCAGCAGTGCGAGACATTTCTTCTGACATTAACACTCTGCACGTCTATTTCATGAGACACGAGAGCAGCAGAGAGAATATGAGAAAGTCTGTTTCATAAATCTCACGATTCTATGTCACACCTGCGACAAGAACAGCTCTGTTTCTTTTTTTTTCTTTAAGAAGAGAAAGTTATGTATTTTGTTTTTTTTCTTGCTCCTCATGCTCTGAAATCGACGCGGCTCCATTTGAAGACATTTAGTGAAACTTTTAAAAAGATTTCTGACCACCGCTCTTGAGTTTTGTTTTCATGTTCTGTTGATATCACAAAAAGATGTGGAGCCAACTTTTCAGAGGCTATAGAGACTGCCCAGATGTGTGTGTTTGTGAGTCAACGTGTGTGACCATGTGTGCGATGTGTCGAGCACCCCCCCCCCCCCCTTCTTTTAAGACTGGCCAGGTGTCACTCAGCACGGCCATTCATTACCGTGGTAACCTGGCCTGAACCTGGCAGCAGCTCACTTCCTGTCACTGATACTTCCTCTGACCTTCAGTGTGTGCCAGCGCTACTCCATCCCTACCTCACACACACACACACACACACACACACACACACACACACACACACACACACACACACACACACACACACACACACACACACACACACGCGCACACACACACACACACACACACACACATATACACATACACACACACGCTCAGATCATTTTATGTGCTCACTCTCTCTTCCCGTGGCCTCGCCTGCTTTATGATGAACTCTACGGTTAAAATCTTTTTCCAGGATTGAGTTAGATTTATTTTGTCTCACATTTACAAAAAGTTTCAAAGCTGCAGCGCTGAGTGTCAGGGAGAAACAGAAGCTCGAGACCACTCTTCTTACATTTTTAAATCCCTGACAGATTGTGACGTTACTCTCAATACACTGAGCGTCCAAATGACCATGCAAGGATTGGACGTCTGATGCACCTGGACATTTCCTGCCGTCAATGTGAGCACCAAGAATGACTGCATGGCTCTTTCTGAACGCACGCATCATCATATGCTAGTACGGCTCAGACTGTTCGTTTATTGGCGAGTTGAAGGACGATCATCTGATATGAGGAAACATAAAAATATGCTCTTAAACTGCTGTAATCCTATCTGTGCTGGGATTGACGAGTCCTGCAGAAACATCTTCAGTAAACAACATGAAGGCGCCCTGATGTGACCTCTGACAATGAGGTTCAACGAAGTAGCTCAGGTTTTCTGTGTCCATCAGAGTCTTCACCTCCAGCCTGATGGTGAAGTCAGGGATTGTGATCCACATTTGTAATCGGCCATTAACACCAGGAATCATTTTGCAGAACACACACACACACACACACACACACACACACACACACACACACACACACATCCATGTGTGTTTCAGTGCACGCACATGCATACACGTTTACACCACATTAAAGTGGAGCTCAGAGACGCGATGCAGAGGGATCAGCTTCCTCACTGCAACACGAGGTGGCATCTTTAATGGCTGCTGACATGCTGTGATTTCCTTCTCTCAGATTCCTCTCATGAGATTCTTTCCAGGCTGCAGGTCAAGTGAAAGCGCTTGAGCAACCGATGCTCGGCCATGATTATTTTTTTTAAAACACGCTGGGAGCTGCACTTTTCATCCAGGAGGCCGCTTTCTGCTGCGAGCGCTCTCTACGCATTGAAAAGACGCTGCAGCTCAGGAAAAAAGCGCTAGGTGGACACAGGGCCTGAAGCAGTACAAAACTTCAAAATAAAAGCCTAACAAGTTTTATTTTTAAATGCGAAATGAGAGAATTTCAAACATGCAATTAAAATTTTAATTTTTTCACAGCCCTAGTTACAGAAAACATTTATATGAATCTGATATATACCGGAAGAGTCCGATTATATCAGACTCACATATATCGGTCAGGCTCTATGTATGGTCTGAGATTCAAACACTTTACAAACAATGAAGGAAATATTTGTGCTGCGCTTGTCAGAGCTGAAAACATGACAACAGACCGTTGTTATATGGAGCCACAAGCTGAAACACGAGGCAAAGGCTCCACACACATTCCTGTTTCTGTTCACTGCAGCCCCCACAGTGAGCCCACTGCTCTGTGCACCTTTCCACCAACAGTCACTCCTGCCAACAGCACAAAGCCGTAAACCTACTAAACCCTCATCTTACGTAAAGATGGTAAATATATTTTTAGGTATGCTTAATGCTATTTCTGAATTTAAGACATTTGCACTTAAAACAGTGATTTGGCCCCGAGGATTGTTAGAAATGTATCGTAGCTGAGATCCTGGAATATATTGAAAGAGTAGTTATATAACGCTCCCTCAGATTTACAGCTTTGACAGCCAACCACATGCTCCACACCATGTCATCCACGATTAAGTCAGCGAGATAAAGGACAGATGACTGTGGAAAAGCTTTCAGATTCGGCCTTGCCAGCCTCCCGTCTCCTTAGCAACTAGACCCCGAGTAGCGAGCTCTGTGATGGGATGGACGGAAACGCAAACCCTGTATGGTTAGTAAAGCAGATTTGAGGGTTAGTAATGACTGCATCATCAGTGTGTGAGTCACAGATCGGTTTGCTCAGGTGTCGTGTGCTCACAGATACTCGGCCATCTGTCACCGTGGCTCTCGCAGGCTTGCTGATCTGTCGCTTTATTTTATGGCCCTGATGCATTAGAGAGCCTGTTCAAAACAAACAAACGGGCAGTGTCACACCGACAGCCAGGGCCTGGTCGTCTAAAACACTTGATCTGGATCAGAGTGATCCGGTTTTGGGAACCCGCTTTTATGCTATCCAGGTCCAGCTAATCCAGCTCACGTTTATCCTGGTTTTCAAAGAAAACTGGACTGGATAAACCTGATGACACAATCAGGATTAAACAGGACCTGACACTACATTGTTTGTCCACAGAGGGCGCCAAAATTAACACACACTGAAAGTAAAAATAGTCATGATCGTCATACTGTATAAAGGGGGTTAAACTGGGACAGACTGCCTGAGTGTCTACCGACCCACAAAATGTAAAATAAACCCATCCAGTCCTTAGTTTGTGGTCTGCTTAAGTCTTACAACACAGAGAAAAATGCTCTGTTTTTAATGTGCTCTCCTTGTGATGTCACAGTGAAAAAAAATACCCTCCCCTCCCCTGGTATCTCCACCCATGGACTCCTCCCCAGCCTAGAACAAAACTTTTACACAGGTCCGCCATTTTTATTCTCGCTACAGAGGAGTGATGTCTACCGGGAAAACTCGGGGGGGTCATTGCATTAAAGAGACACACTCACCAAAACGGAGCGTTCTGAGAGAGCTGGTTTATACAGGGTCACAAACCTCCTCTGGTGGGGACTGTTTGAAAAGGTGGAGAAGGGGGATAATATGTCCTCTTTAAGAACCTGATGTTTTACATTTTTTCTAGACATTACTATATAATGCTTATCATTTTATGTTTGATGTGAAAGATGTTGATTGTTGTTTTTTTTATGGCTGCATTCCTCACTTTGTGAGACAATAAGGTTAATGAAGCGTCTCCCAGAGTCAGCTCAACCAAAAAAAGCAAAGGTATTAAAAATAGAAGAGTGTTTTCTTGTCCTATAAATCCTGTACATCTATTATTGCACCTGAGGTTATTGCACACAGATTTAATAAGCCTATAGATGAGTTATACTCTGACCATGTACGCAGGCCTCAGCAGGAGTTCAGTTGTGTAACATCGCTGTGGTTCTTCTTCTTGCAGCCAAACCCCCCCCCCCCCATCTACCTGTGCACATATGTCCTCTCCACGCTTATGTCACCGCCGTGTATTTATAGTCGCGTGTACTGTACCTTCATAACCAGGGAGTGTGAATGTTATTTGTATTTGCCAACCTAATGGGGTCTGAATGTTACAGGAGGAGAAAAAAACACAACAAAAAGACGTCAGATGGTGCTGACTTTAGTGGCCGTGGAGATGAGTCAGCACAAAGTTTGGCAGAACAACAAGCCGAGCGGTCTGCCTTCCACCGCTACACTGAAATGTTCACTGTGTTTGTCATAACAGCTTTGGTGTGATGGTAATAATGTGCTATGCTGGTGCACAAGTGAAGGACTGACCATTTGCATGTGGGGGAAATGTAGCTTAGCAACTATAAGGAAGCCCGTAGATCGCAGAATCATTAAGGTCCTGTGTCTATGTTTTTTTAGCGATGGTAGTGCCAAGCAGCTCAGAGTACTTCCCTCACACACCCAATCAAAATCAAGGAGGGGCGGGACCTCTGGAAAATTACACGTCTTTTCAACGGTACATCCTAAAGGTCGAACCCTGCTGCCTATGTCAGGACACGATTCCTTTACATGGTTTTCATGTTCTCTTGGGGAAGTTTCCTTTAGTAGAAGCAAAAATTCTGCATACGGAGAATTCTAAAACTTGAGTCACTACTAAGGGAAGCAGAAGTTCGGCAGGCCAACTTTTTGTCACCTAGCAACAGTCAGAGTCCGGTAGTCTGTCTGTAGCCAGCACAGACACAGACCCTAAAGCAGCAAGAGGAGTGTTCGTTTTGTGTGGATCTGGCGCCCTCTGTGGACAAACGTGGTACTCCTGGTGTTGATTTGTATTTGTTTTGAATAAATAAAACTTGTGGTCTTGCTTGTTAACGTAAGCATCAGTATTAAAACGAGACAAAACGATAAAAATAAATGTTAAATGATACGATGAACTGATTCAATGCACAGGTTTATGGTTCAACTGTAGCCTCAGTTTTCTTCTCTTAAACCTAACATTAGAACAGGAAGGGTACGATCCATTGTGTTTCCAGAAAGAGACTCCACGAGTCGCTGACCTGCAGGGCAGAGTCGTCTTCTTTTTGACTACACTGAAGCTAAACCAGCAGAGCAGCACTGTGACCACTTCACACAGGCCGTGATTGTCACCTCTGTGTAAATGTCCCTGAGCCTTCAAACGAGCGTCTCCATCAGGATGAGATAAACAGGTTGCCAGGCAACTGGAAACCTGGCAGCATGCTACTCTCCTCCAATTAAAAGACGAAACCCGGCCCGAGAGGGAGCACAAACTCACTGATGAATCTGCTAATTGCTCAAGTCCACAAAGACCAGATAATCTCTGTCACCGTGCTATCATTGTTGCAACTAAAGTGTTTGTCAGTCACACAGTTTGAGGGTGGTTGGTTTTTTAATCTGAGATACTTCACTTATCACCAATACACTGATGATTTAATGTATGCTTTATCTGTGCTCTCAAACCTCTTTATGTTCAGAGTTCAGATCACAGACTGTGTATACAAATGGACAGCGTGTCTCAGCCTCTCCAGTAGAACCGGATCTGCGCAGTAGAGATCGGTTTAAAGAGTGCGTTTAAACCAGACCAAAATTTTATTTCAGATTATGAAACACAATATTTAACTGAATAAGTCCTCTTTATTTAAATATAACCCGGCCTCTGTGGTGTATTATTTGATGGTTATTTGATAGAGGTGTGTATCTAACATTTTAAGCCAGATAGTAAAGTGATGATGGTAGTCCTACCACTCCGATGGAGAAGTAGTTGTTGACGATGCTGTAGGGGACGGGGTCTCCCTTCTCCTCCTTGTCATCAGGGACGATGTCGATGTTCCAGCGGTCCAGAGCCACCTCCGTGCTGTGCTCGATGTCCCGGAGGAACTTCAGCAAGCTGCCGCCCTCATAACCTGCAGAGAACAGCCAACCAGAGAGAGAGGGGGGGGGGGGGGGGGCAAGTGGTTAATAAAAACAACAGATATGATACATAATTTGTGTTCAGAAGTGTAACCCTGTCCTGTTTTCAGATGAAGTGTGGCTGCATGTTTTGGTATTGACCAACAAGATCAATAAGATTTTACGTCATTAGAATTTGCGACAGCGAATGGGGCCAAAGACCGACTGACAAGGTTCAGTAATATGATGGATTTAACACAAGTCTGACTCTGCTGGCGTCGACAGAGCGTTGTAGAGACTAGTTTTGGTGTCAGATGGATTTATTGATTTTGGTATCAAACCTGAGACGTGACTCGGGTTAGACGACTTCCTATAGCCGCTAAAGTTGCTAAACATGAGACAATGATGACACCGCTAACTATACAGGCTGAAACAGCTTTTAACGCTACGTCTCCGTCCTCTTCCTCGTAGCGTCACCCATTGTATCAAACAGAACAGAGGCGGGCTAACTGTCTCGTGGCGTAAAGTTGTACGCACCCTGCGGCCTGCTGCCAAACCTGCATAGTGCTGTAAGCAGACGACCGGCGCTCTGCAGACACGGGAGAGTAGCTATCCTGTTGGTTAAGAGCTGTTGCCCCTTCATATCGACTTTGAAACGGATATTTTTAAGGTGGAAAAGTTATTTTTTTGTTGCTTTAAAGCGAGATTACTTAAGGGCGGAGAAAGCAGTCAAAGCCACTGACTTTTTTGCAGCATACATGCATAGATGTTATTGACCTCAGCTCTTTGTAAGGGCAATTTTTGAATCAATTTTGTACCAATTTCCTGAACAAAGATTCAAAGAAAAAGAATACTTCAGTTTAGTTTAGTGAAATAGTTTAAAGGCTGAACATCGCCTGAGGATTTATGAGTTTTTTAAGCGTTTAAAATGATATTTGGATGCGTTGAGTCTACCTTGGTGGTTATTCACGTGCAGCAGCTTCAGAGTAAACCTTTCCAAGTTTAATATTTCAGCCAATCCAAATTCACACCCTCGCACATAACTGGTGAAACTGTGAATTATACGGCTTCTACCACGAGACACAATGGCACTGATTAGGCTGCCACTTCACAGACGCCGCCGCCCTCACCACCTCCGAACCTGCCTGACAGCGCCCCAGGGAGCCCTCTGTTTTACTCTGCAGCTAAGAGTCGGGCTCCTTAATGGAGATCAGAGGCGGAAGTGTGTTCAGGGGTGTCACGAGGGCGTGAGGCTTTAATGTCACGCTGGGAGCATCACGTGTGAAATATGAAGAATGTGTTACTACAGCGGCTTGAGATGGAACAATTTCCTCTTCAATTAAAAACAATTGTTGCTTTCCCATCAGATCCCTCGATATCCTGTGCACACATATATAATCTGTGTAGCACCCACTGAAGAGCTCTCGGATATTTTCTGTCTCAAATCTACACATGACAACAAAAGAAATCATGCGAGCGGTCCTCACAGTCATTAACTCAAACACATGAACTCCTTTGTGGGCAGGCTAACATGTCTGCAGCCGTGACAGCATGACACGGTGACACTTTATGAAGCCAGGAAACTCAACTCATTCAGGGTTTTTTCTGGCCGAGACGGTCAGCGGAGTTTCTAACAAACAACGAGCAGCCACACATACAGATATAATAGAGATACTTAATCATAAAATGGTTTAAGATACAAAATGACAAAAAATGAAACAGTAAATCTTTCAGAAAGATCATTTATAAACATAAATCTATCAGGTATACATCTAGAGCCAGACGTGTCATTGAACATCCTTTTAAAATCGTCCAATCAGAGCAGCTCTTTGAGTCTCAGCCCTTTTTGTAACTGGTTCAAAGTTAAGGGAGGAGCAAACTTAAACGTCTTTTCACCCTAGTTCAGTTCTGAGTTTTGGAACAGACAGTAAGAAGATGATCCTGTACTCGTCTGACTGATGGAGGTCAAACATATGTTGGCGTAATCCCAGGATGAGTCTGCAGAGGGCGCTAAATTGCAAATCACGCTATAGTTCCCCGATATGAAACCAAGAATTTCACCAGACGGCCTCAAGTCTCTACGTAAACTGTTGAAATCTCTTACATAGACTCTCTTCTCCCAGAGCTGGAGAGCAGCCCTCCCCTGGCAGCCCTGCAGTGTTCGGACCCACTCTGGAACGCTTCCAGAGCCAAGGGGGCCAATCAGAAGAAAGTGGGCACTTGGGGAGGCGGGCCTTAAAGAGACAGTAGCTGTTTCAGGCAGAGGCTGAGATGAGGGTTTGTACTGACCTCAGGATCAGATAAATGAGATCATGTAAAGCTGCTCTAAAGGTTTCACAGACTGACGACATGAAAGGAGAATGAGGAGGAGATCTTTAATCACATGTTCAAATTCAACACTCTCATTCTTTGAACAATTTAAACCGATGATCTCAGACCACCTGAGGATTGTTCTCTCAGTTACAGTTTACAGTCAGTGGTTCATTTCTGCAACAGTTGATCGAATGGCGCCCCACGGCCCCCTTGCGCCAAACCCCCTTCATAAGCTCGTGTTAGTGCTCTGCAGGTCCTCCGAGCAGCAACAATCCAGCAGTCATCACCAGCCCGGCTAATTACTGGCAGAAAGTTGTGTAACAAATCAATGGCTGGCAGAGGACTGTCAGCACGAGTGCTCAGCATATTAACAGATCTTAATTCGACACCTAAGAGCTCCCACTTCCAGTTTGCCATCTTTAATTTCCTGAATCACATTCACACACATGCTCGTCTGATTTATTAAACACCTGAGAGCCTTCCTGAAAACTACGCTCATTCTTTAAGAGCTCAAATGAACGCTAACAGTATCTCAAGCCTGTTCAGTTTTTAAGCTTCCTGCTGAACATCTGCAGATGATCTCACTTTTTTCCACTGGCAGGAAGACGACTAAACATATAAAGGTAATAGTTCCTCGACCTCATGATCGGGTGTTCAAGGTTAATGCCCCCTCTTCTTTATTTGAACCCCTTCAGGTCTGTGTTTACTTTGTTTTTACTAACTCTATGTCTCTTTATGGTTGAAACACATCATCTTATGAAACTGATCCTCACAGATTTCTCCAGTTAGCACTGTATCAAACTTTGGATTAGAGAGTAATCTCTACATCAGCTGCAAGTTTTTGTCACATTTGCTTAAAACTCAGTCTGCCACATTTGGTATTTTTGTAAACTTTACAAACTCTTGGGCACATTTGGCTAAGTGATTAGTCCATGCACACCATGTACAGAGGCTGATGTCTTCAAAGCGGGCGGACCGGGTTTGAAATCCAGCCTGTGGCTCCTTTCCAGCATGTCATTCCCCTCTCTCTCTCTGAGGTCCGACTCTATGGGTGATCAGGTCCATCTGTTCTATTGATCGATGTTTTACTGAGCCAATTGTGGTTCCTGGTCATAGCAGGATTTTATAAATGTCCGTCCATGAACTAGCAGTTTGTTCCTGTTTTTGGTGTATGTACAGTATGTTGTGTGTTGTTGATGTAAAGCACTTTGGGTCCTTTGTCTGTGAATTGTGCTTTCTAAATAAACTTCACTTATATACAGATAATCGAGTGTCTCACCTCCTCCCCAGCGTAAGCAGCGAGCGAGGTCGTTCCCTGTGCCCAGAGGGAGAATGGCCACCGGAGGATGCTTGGCAAAGTTAGCTTTATCTGCACGGACAAAGACAAACAAACCAACCTTTAATATACTTACAGTAGAAGAACAATGATTGAGATAGCTACAGTATTTCCTGCCAGATATAAAAAAGAATGAAAAGACAACTCAGGTTTAATACAATTTCTGCAGCTTCTGTCTTTGTGTGCTGATTGGTTCAAAGATGACAACAAGTGCTCAATTCTGCAAAATTAAGAGGCTGATTCAAGAAAGGATTGGGCGTCAAACCTGTGCAGAGGAGCCATTATGCCATCATTTGCGCAGTTAGAGTCAGCAAAATCAATACGACTTCCGGGTATTTTTGGCAAACTGAGGATCTCACATTTGTTCACAAATGGACCAATCAGTACAAATTACATGGTGTGGAAGAAGGTTTAGAAAACAGCCTCTGACTGCGACTGATCGTTACCCACCCTGACCAACAAAATGTTTTAAAGAGCTGTAGAAAGCTGTGACTTTAGCTGATGTTTGTGTGAGACGTTAAATAACCTGTGTACCTATACAGTCCAGGATCCAGCCTACTGTGCCGTCTCCTCCACAGGCGAGCACCCGGAAATCAGGGACGTCGTGGAAGAAGTTGAGCCTATGAAAGGACAGAAGATGGAGGAGGTGTAACGGACATATGAAGACTTTTAATCTTTCTCTGGACAAGTCTCCTCAAAGTGTTTTAAAAGTGATGAATCTGTTAACTGTTGTTTTCTAACGGGGGGGGGGGGGGGGTATCTCCTGAGCTCTAAATTATTGAATAAGATGAACAGAAGCGCTGACGGGCAGAAAGACAGGAAAGATACAGACAGAGAGAGATTGATCACTGTGCGTCCTCTCCAGCTGTGTTCACCCCCCCCCACCCCCGCCGGCCACCCGGCCTCCCTGGAAACCGTCGTCACAGAGCGGTCACAGAGAGCGCGCCCTTCAAAGAGACCTTTAATGTGTGTTGGGACAAAGGTGTCGACGGAAGCTTTCATCTCTGTCCGTCAGGAGGACAGCTGCATGTGGAGCACAGACCCCCTTCACACCGAGCACCTGGCCCCTGCACAGTGATCCCCCACAGACCCCCTAAACCGCATCTTTAAATCAATAAAATGGCGGTTTTACAGTAACTCCGGGTCACTTCCGGCATTTGGTACATTCCCTTTCCCTCAAGAGTCTGTTGTTTTGTAAATTTGTTTTGCACTTCCCAGTCACCGTGAAAAAGTATTGAAAGGCCTCGGGTCATGTTTCAACTTATGTTTTGTTGTAAAATGACGCCCCTTCATGTGTTTGAATATGAAACAAGTCAACAGCGTCTCCTTAAGTTAAATCTGCTTTATAGCCCTTTAGGCTTTTTAATGCTGTATATCTGCTGTTAATCCTTCAGTAATGATGAGCTTTAACAGTTTTAACAGAGATCACTTTAAGAGCTTTACAATCAGAGGTCACAGATTTTTAAACTGCCTTATTAGCTCCATGATCACACACCCTGATCAGGGTTCAGGTCTCAGGTCTCAGGTTTCAGAGGAAGTTCAAATATTTCCCACTTTCTCCAACATAAACTCAGCAGCTTCTGCTCTGATGTGACGATCCTGTCAGTGCTACCTCAGATGAAAGTCAGTGGTGGATTACAGTATTTCTGCTGCAGGTAACATGGTGCAGAAAAGTCCCCTCTAATGGGCATGCAGAGTAACTACACCAACATGCACTCTCCTTAGGAAGGGGGGGGGGGTGGTATTTCGTCTACATGGAGCTGTTTATCACATCCAGTCAAAACCTTTCCATGTCGATATAAAATATGAATAAAGGTGAGTGATTGTGACTGCTCGAGGTCATTCTTTATGTATGAAAGCGGAGGAGAGGACATCAACACGGAGCTGAGAGGTTTACACTCACAGACGGGCTGAGAAAATAATGTGAATGTAATGAGTGAAAGTAGAGAAATTAACAGAAACAAATGAGTGAGAGCCAGCTGCAGCATCTGAGCTGCTGAGCCTGTTGCTAAGGACAGCATGGTAACAGTAAGCGTTCAGCTGAGTGGAGGTTAACCCTCGAAGGACAGCAGACCTCCATTCACCCTGTGTTTATCTCTGTGGCACTGTTTGGAGGTTTCATGCTGCGGGGCCTCTCAGCTCTGCACAGTATTGCATCACCTCATTAAGAGTGTGTCAGCCGGCCGAGATCCCAGTTCAACATTTAACACCTTACTTACATACAGACGATTGTGTTCATTCCCCGACCATTTTGAAATCAGATTACTGTACAGTAAATAAAGGTTTGTAGATACATGGTGAGGAGAGGAGAGGAGAGGAGATGACATGAGAGGACGTGAGAGGAGAGGAGAGAAAAGGAGAGGGGGAGAGGAGAGGAGAGGAGAGGAGAGGAGAGGAGAGGAGAGGAGAGGAGATGTTAGGCTTTTATTTTGAATGTTTGTACTGCCTTAAGCCGAGAGTACTTTACTTGCAGTGTGCTTTTATATTGAAATACAGTACGGCCCTTCCTGTAGAGTGAAGGTTAGGACATGAAGTTAAGCCCAGAAACAGGAAGTGGTTAGGGATCCCAAACTGAGGTCAAACAGCTCAAATATGCTGATTTAACAAAAGTTTGTCAAGTCGCATCATTAAACTAAAACATGATTAAACTGTAAACTGAAAGTCTTATCCAGCTTCACATCAGAGTTACAGTGTTGGTGTTTGACGCGGCGTGTATCATCTCCCCTCAGACCCGAGTGCGTCATCGGGTTACTTTTCCTACAATGGGCTCTCGAGGCCAGCCGCTCCGCTAGTCGTGATTGAGCGATAGAGAGAGAGTGCGAGAGACATGAGTGGACAAGGGCAGGAGAGACAGAGAGAGAGATAGAGAGAGACAGAGAGAGAGAGAGGAACATAAATGGAAGTGAAAGGACGGCGAGGGGAGCGCTTCACCTTCAAGGTAAAGCATTTACAGCCACTGTGCTGCGTGCGGCAGTTTTTCTTCCCTGAATGGACAAAAAAGCGAAACAGCATTCATTCCAGAGTACAGGCTGTGCTCCGCTCTGACGTATCCCTGAGTGTGTGTGTGTGTGTGTCTCAGGAGGTCAAATGCACAGTACAGCAGTAATGCAGCGCTCCCCTTCAGCGACCTCCACAGCAGGTTAGATCAACATGACGGAGAGAAACTCTGTTTTATATTCATGATGCAAAAAAACAGAGGGATGAAAACTGATCGGATATGCATTTAGAAAAAAACGTCAACAAAAGAAACTCAACACCATGGGTTATGAGGAAACATCAGCGTGCCATCCTAAAACATAAACGTGTCCGCTCTTTGTGTCAATCTTTGTGTCACTGATAAAGAGATAGAAGCAGCACTCACCCCATCATTGGTCCCCCTTGCTCCAAACTGTACACCTGTCTGGGGTTAAGCAGGTACCTGAACTTCCTCAGCACCCTAAGAAGAGACACACAGACAGAGCAGAGGAGACTTAACTCAAACTGTCTACAGACATCATAGATCAGCACAAACAACATGATGTACCATCCTGCAGGTAAACCTTCAGGATCCAGCTGAGCCTCAGTCGGAGTATTTCATTCAGAGGAGGGAAGTGCGGCACAAAGAATCCGTTCTGAACTAAGGTGCAGTTTTCAGGTAGATGTACTCGACTTGCTTTTTGGCGACTTTGCACTTTTCTCCCTATATTTTGTATGTAAGACTTTTTGGTGCACTTTGGCGCTGACTGATGGTCTCTGAGTCCACCATCGTAAATCACACCGTGACAGCGTGCATTTGTTGACAAACAAGGGAAAGACGCTATGAGAAGCGATACACACTCATGTGGACTGACGAGGTTCTGAAATATTAATGAGCAAACATGACTCTAAAATATCGAAATTGTCTACAAAGGGAGGTCGAAGTGTTCACGTGTACAAAGGTAAATGAGGGACTAATGCTTTTTAGCCTGTGTTTATTCATACAATACCTTACAAACACCAGGCAACTCAAAGTGTTCACACAGACAACAAAACATTTCAAACATTTCACTATTTATGGTTATTTCTGGTTTATTTGATGGGGACAGATACAATATGAAATGCAAATATCAGAGTGTTTATAGCGGCTGCTACTTTGCAACACTCGTCCCTAGAAGAGCTTAAATAAAGATAAAAACAGTCAAAAAGAAAGAGAGAGAGAGAGAGAGAGAGAGAGAGAGAGAGAGAGAGAGAGAGAGAGAGAGAGTAACTGGGTACAGAGACTCACTATTAGCTGGGACCGAGCGACAAAGATTTAAACAGGAGTACAAGTCTGCTGCTGAACTAACCAGGATCTGGTGACTCTCTTAGTGGTGAAGTTCGCAGTTTCAGGTGACAGAGAGTTTGAGGATTTGACTCCTTTCACAGAAAATAGGTTTTGACAAAATGAAACTTTACAGTCGACACTTGAAGCGTCTCTGCTGCAGCCCTGTATTCTCTGAGTGAGTCTGCAAAGAGGCTGAGGAGTTTCAACATTTAAACAATTGTCACATGATGGAAGTCGATCAAACTGGTAAAACTTGAAATCTTGTATTTACTTGTTGATGATTACATGTGTGTGCATAGAAGAAATACACAGTCTCTGCAGGATGCATCCACACAAACCAGACGTGTGTGCATGATCAAACATGAAAGTACATAAACACGTGCACATGCAGACATGAAATACAACAACACAATAAGTTGTGTTAACTTTAGAGATCCATGTGAAGGTCAGGAGCTGATTGAACTTCTGCTCAGCTTGCTGCAGTCATAAACATGTTGCGTTCACACAGACAGAAATAGCAACACAGCCGCAGCAGCCTCTGGTTTCCTGTTCACAACGATCTTTGTTCTGATCATGTCTATTAATAGAGAATCATTTCCTTTCTAATGGTAATGATGAGGGTTGCCATGGTAAAGCAATCACAGAGTAGGACTGGCCTCTGGTAAGACAAAAGGCAACAAGAACGTTTATTTACAGCTCGTACGGCTTCATGAATCTATCTTTATTTCAACACACTTTACAAAGAGCAGGTAGAAGAGAGTACTCAGGGTTATATCATCTACAAAGGCCCAACGTTAATCCATCAGGAGCAGTGAGCAACATGAAGCAAAGTTACAGTGGAGGAGAAGAACTTCTTTTAAGAGGCAGAAACCTCGAGCAGTTTCCAGACTCATGATGAACAGCCGTCTGCTGCGACTGTGTTGGGGTTTAGAAGGCGACGCAGGAAGCAGGAGACAAACAGAAATTGAGGTCGTTCAGAGCGGCAGGGAGGTGCAGATACAGTACGACGCTGCCCTCTGTGGCAGAAATCACTCTCCTGAAATGTGCTGTGATTTTCAAATAACGGCTGAAAATTATTTTAATGATCGTGGAATTGAACAAAACTTTATTCTGGGCCTTTGAGGGGACTGATTACAGGAACGGATTGAGTTCTGTACAACTCAAGGAGCGGTGGGTACTGTGCTTTGTGTTATTCAAGAAGAAGCAGATCATCCCAAGGGGAGTTCATGGGGCCTTTGCTGCGAGCCATCAGGTCCCTGTGTGATCCACTGCACAACGTCAGACACGTTCCACGTTTTGAGTATCTCTGGGTCTTGTTCACAAGTCAGGGTAAGTTGAACAGTGAGATTGACAGACGGATTGGTGCAGAGAACGTGCCGGACTGCCGTGGTGACGGTTTTTAGACGCTCGATCTATGTCCCAGCCCTCACCTGTGGTCATGAGCTTTGGGTAGTGACCAAAAGAATGAGATCACACGAAGCGGCCTCGAATAAGTGAAAGAAAATGGATGGACAAACTGTATATGTCATACAAATAAATGATATTAAATTCTATTTTTTTCCCCTTTTATCAAATCGCCTTTTCTTATGTATTTCATGTTTGAAATGTAAAAGTGGATAGAGAGAGAGAGAGAGAGGGAGAGAGAGAGAGAGAGAGAGAGAGAGAGACATCAGACCCCAGCAGGAGGTCTGTGAGTGACAGGAACTCACCTCTCCCCCTGTCTCCCTCCACTCTTTGGGTTGACCAGAACCAGGAGCGGGTGAGATCCTGGGAGAGGAGTGATCTGCAGACAGGGAGGTGAATCTTGTTGTCATATCAATAACATACAGAACATAGAGCATCAGAAGGCCTATAATCGTGTACCTGCAGTGCTTGTCCATCTCCAGGGGAGAATTTAAAGGTCTGGTTGATGTCGTCTGGGCTGGTGCTGGGCGGAGACTCCCCCTCTCCTCGTTTAACCACAGAGTGACGGTCCTGTGGAAGAAAAGAAAGATTTTAACTCTACAACAGGATACAAAAGATGAAGACCTCTACACACAAACATCATGATTAATAAAAGTATGTGTCTGTAAACCAGCGTGCACTCCTCCTTTATAAGTTACAATCATCTCTAAATATTCTGCAGACTTTTAACCCTACATCGATTTATTACAACAGCATGAACAAAAAAAACAAGACCGCTGCACAGATATCAGGATTGATAAAACTAAAAACCTGTTCACTTGCAGGAAATTTCTCTTTAAAGGAGTAATCTGTAACTCTGGCACCTAGTGTTTAAAATGGATACTGCAGTCTAAATTCTAAACATTGTAGAGAGCTGTGGGTACAATCACTTCTATCTGAACCAGTTCTCTCGCCCGCTTCCATCGCTGCAACACCTCTGGTTTAACCTGATAACTGCTCTCATATCTGGCAAACCGAGGGGCATCCAAAACGGCCGTGTGGGGGTGCCTTAAAACCGCCTACCTTCTCTGGTCCAAACAAATCCAGAGCATTCAGGACCAGAATCTATACTTAGACTGGTGACTCTTCAGGCCTGGTCTAAAAACAATAACAAGATCAAACTGATAAACTCTGTTGTATCGGGCATCTCTATTCTTCTTTCAGTGGTGATAGTTTTTAACCAGTTGGCTCGCCTTTCCTGGAGCAGCGCTTTAGAGGTAAAAAGGGTGGGAAGAAACACCCCAGTAACCCCTGAAAAACATCCCCTATAGAGGTAAACATGTGGGTCATCTTATCATCAGCCTCCTGCTGGACGGAGCTGGCTTTATTTGTAATCCACTGCCTTCCACAGATTTCCCCGAACAAGTCAGAGCACACACCTGCATCAATTTCACACTTACTCATGATTCTATTTCCTGGTCTGACTTCTCAATTTTCCTCACAAATACTTCACTGACAAGCTGATTTATATGCATGCTGTCTGTGTCCTCAGCTCAGGGACCATGCACCTGCAGAATGTTTCAAGCTTTTTTGTCATTTAAGAAGCAAAATGCTCAATTATGAGCAGGTGCATTCTTTTTCATTCATGATATATATTTAAGTGCATATGTTTCTTCTCTTGCATCCCGCTGTGTAAATTCAGTGTGGAGGTAAATCATTGGCCTGTCATTTTTAAAGGGTTATTATGAATTAGAGGGAGGATGCATGCAGGTGACAGGTTGGTAGTTTTATAAATAATGATATATTTGAGGTCAAAGGTTTGAAATCAGAGTAGAGTGAAAAAAAACCTCAGTCTTCAGAACGCTTAAAGATCATTTTGTTTCAGAAACATAAATGTCATTCCTCCGATCGAGGCCTGCTCCAGCTCACTCAGTGTGAGCAGCTCTCCTGTTGAGGTGAACTCTTTCAACTGTAGGCCACATACAGTGTGTGCAGCGCGGTGTAAGGAAAGCAGAGAGAGACGCCTTCTCACCAAGACGACTGGGCAGATGTACGAGGGCAGCAGAGTGTGGTCCCTCAGAGCTCCTCCATCACATTCGGGCTTCACGTTGGATGCACATTTATTATGAAGCTACGGAGGAGAAGCAGAAACAGAAGAACTGTGGGCGGACTCCATCTGGGACACTCTCTGCATCAAATGTTAGCGGGATGAAACGCTACACCTCTGAGGCTGTTTACTCTGACTGTATACAGACTGATTGACACACATGTGAAGAGATAGAGAGAGCGAGGAGAGAGAGAGACAGAGGGAGAGAGAGAGAGAGCGATAGAGAGAGAGAGAGAGAGAGAGAGAGAGAGAGAGGACTGTAAGCTGCTTCTGTGAGCTTCAGATTTTGGTCAACTGGATTATTGCTGAGTAAACTCAAGGCCAGTGGCGCAATCTAGTGGATATAAAAAGTATTGAAAAAAATATGAATGCAGATGCATGCAAAATTTAATCTATCACATTGTGGGGAGAGAAAGTGGTTTCAAGGGTCAGTTAAAAAAATGACGTATTGGTTCTTAAACATATTTCCCCATCCAGCCCTTTACGACAAACATTTGACATTTAATCACAGTGTTATTTCCTGAATCTCTTGTCAGCTCAGACCCCGTCATAAATCTTGAAATGTTATCAGTGTGCAGGCAAACGTCATGTCACCCCTGCATAAGTCAGTGCCCTAGTTGACACGCCCCTGGGTGTGTGAGTGTAAAGCAGGGACTCACAGTGATCTGACACCACACACAGTGCAGCCCCGTCAGGCCCTGGTAACACTTGATGCTTCGGTGACAGCGGTCGCACTTTGTTGGAGAGTTCCCCTCCATCCAGATGTGCTGCATAGCCTGCATGCAATCAAAACCAATCAAAAAATCAGATTTTATTAGTGGAGTAGCACTTCCTGCCAAACAGGAGTAAGACTCTGGGCCATTCTGCAAGGAGTTAGTACGCTTACATCATCACCAAAGCCACGTTTCCACCAAGCGGTCCGGTTCAATACGGTTCAGTACGGTTCAGCACGGTACACATTATTGCCGTTTCCACTGCCAGAAGTTGGAATGCTACCATGCTACCATGCTAACAGATCTGTACCGTCTTACTATTTTGCTCCCCTTCTGTTGGGGTGCAAAGCGTACCAATCTGACCCTGAGGGGTGGAGCGAGACAAACTGCAGACTGCTGATTGGTTGAACGGATCATCGTTTTCCGTGTAACAACAGTAGGTTGATGTTGACATACCAAGTGGATTTCAAGAGAGTATTTTTGTTATTTTGCGACTATTGTCAGTGTGTAGCTCCGCCCCCTGGACATCCTCCATTGGTGCCCTGTGTTGTGTTCTTCTTCTTTGTTTAATTTATTTGCGGGCTACACTAATGGTACGCTTGGCTGTGGAAACACAACAGAGACCAAAGATTACCGTACCAAACTGGACCGAACCAAAGCGGACCACCTGGTAGAAACGGGGCTTAGTCGGTGTGAGTTGTTGTCTGTCTTCCTGTGTTCACCCTCTAACTGATTTCACCTGGTTATAACACAAAGATGGAGGTGCTTGATCGCTTTGGCGTGCTGAGTAACTGAATAAACAGACCGTAAATGAACATGATCTTATAAAGAATTCTTCACACATCAACGTTAAATCACAGAAGATTTAAACTGAATAACAAATCCTCCCGGACGCCACGGACCGTCCCATGACGCACGCCGCTCTGTCCGAGTCAGGAGGTATCTGCTGCACAGGGCGCTCAGTGTTCCTGCCTCATTACCCCTCATCACGTTATCAGAGCGCCGTTTCTACCTGCAGAATGAACCCTTTCATGCGTCTGCGTTTGCTCTTACGTTGGTGTGCCTGCGTGACTTGGCGTAGGTGCTGATGCAGGCGGCGATGTCTTTGGACACACAGCGTTCGTGCACCGTGTACTTGCACGCTGTGGGAAGATGAAGGAGGGAAAACAGTGTGTTAAATATGACTTTACATCGCTCAGACAAGCTGCAGACATGGTTTAAATGTTTCTATTATCATAACTTTAAACTAACAAGCAGGTTAGCGGTTAACAACATGGCAGACCGTCAGACGACCTCGACCCACAGAGCGGCGCCTCTGTACTATTTAATCAATAGCAGAGTTAAACAGGATGTGACATTAATGTTGTGAATGTTTTTTAAGGATGACCGCGAGGACTCTTTATTGAAATACAGAATTGACTCTGAGGCACAAAAGACTTCAAGCTGGGGAGAGAGAAAGAAGAAGAGGGAGCTGACAAAGACGGAGGAGCAGACAAAGAGAAACTGACAGAGACGAGGGAAGAGGGACGATAAAGAGATTAAAACAGGCACACACACAAACACGCACACACACACACACACACACACACACACACACACACACACACACACACACACACACACACACACACACACACACACACACACACACACACACACTCAGACTCACTGGAGCAGCAGAGGCCCTGCTTGCGGACTCCCAGCAGCATGGTGTGGCAGTAGTTACAGTAGGCTGGTTTGTTGAAGTGCTTCAGACGCCACACGTGCTGCCCGTCTTCCTGTACGTTCTGAGAGGAGATGACATGAGAAGAAACAAGATCATCTTTGAGAGGGACACACTTTGGAGGAACAGTTGGTTGCTACAAACAAATCAAATTCATGCAGCCTGTACTGGATCAGCTTCAAACATGGACCCTGTTAAGAGCTCAGATGAAGTATCCTGATTGCCAAAGGGACCACTCCCCCATTTGGGGGAAGACCAGCCCTGTGGAAGTGTTTTATAAAACACAAGTAGCAACGCTTCTAAACGCTGTTGATACAATGAGATTAAGAGCGCCAATTCTGGTTGGTGCACAGAAGTTAAAGGTCACACTTTCATACAGTGTTTAAAACATTTGCACAGACTGTTACCAGATTCTTCACATTCCCTTAAAAACAACATAGATACCAAAGTGGGAGGAGTCAAAGTGCTGGAGAAGTCATACAGTAAGTAGCTACGGTCGATCTAAAGAGTCATAAGAAATCACAGACGTTATAGTAAAGACCCAGGGAATTGTTCAAGAGAAGAAAAGATGGAGTGACGGTCGGCTGAGTCATACAGCTGATCATTTGGTACGCTGATTAAGAACGTGAAAGGCCTCGTTTAAGAGTCTGGTGGTCTGTGTTTTTAGTGACCTGTTGCCTGCCTGAGTGCAGGTGGGGTCGCTTTGGAGCCCCCTACAGGTCTCTGAGCCACATCGCTCTTCTTTTACAGTCCTGAATTTAGAGTCACCAGTTGACCTAATGATCATGTCTTTGGACTGTGGGAGGAAGCACCTGAAGAGGCTCCTGTCTGTCAGACGGGGATTCAACCACCACACACACCACCGTGCAGTTCATTAACGGGAAGTATCTCAGCCATTTAGGACCATAACTATAAAAACTCTGATTTATTAGGAAAAGAAATAAACATTTGGAACATAAAATCCAAAGTGCTCGTCTCTTTATTCTCTGAGATCATTCTTATATCATCTCTTGGGCTCGGTGGCGTTAAAATGACATGTTTGTTTTTTATCAGTAACCTCTTGGTTACATCACTCCGCTTAATAAAGCTCCTACGTTCACTAATATGCTCCTTAAGAGAGCGAATGTCTCACCGCGGATATTTATATTTTACCTCATCGGCACAGCAAGATAATCTAATCCTTAATCCTTCAGTGGATCAGCAAACATAAATTAAAGTTAAAATCTGTGAGGCATTCAAAGCACTTCTGGCCAAAGCTTTGCAGAAACTGAGATAATAGTCTCAACCTGCAGGATGCACAGAGGAGCACACTGAAAGAGCTGTGCAGAGAGTGTATCTGTTATACAGGGGTGGCTGTGGCTCAGTGATAGAGTCAATCATCTCTCAACTGGAAGGTCAGGGGTTCGATTCCTGGCTCCTGCAGCCATATGTCCAATGTGTCCTTGGGCAACACTCTTAACCCCAAGTTGCTCCTTCTGCTTTGTTGGTCGTTCGTGAATGTGTATGAATGGGATTAGTTACTTCTGATGGACCGGTATACTCTCCCACACGATGTGGTTTTATCATCACCAATCCAGCACACAGTTCATGAAAACAGGCTTCCTGCTTTGCTGTTGTAAACACATGAACCCTGTTTTTAAAAAGGAAACGTCCTGCGTATGATTTGTGTCTAACATTTTCAAACACAGCGTTAGGTGAAGACAGGCCAGCATGGTTCTACACACACACACACACACACACACACACACACTCAGAGAAGAGAGAACTACCCGCAGACGCTCTAAGGACACAGGACGTCCGAGTGAAAAGGAACAAACAGAACAATAAGAGGATGATATGTACCGTGTCCATGCCCAGCAGGACCAGCAGAGGGATGGTCGTGAGGCCTCCTCTGATCCACTCCTCCAGTGTGACCGTCCCGTCTCTGTCATAGTCGATCTCCTCCATCATCTCCTTCAGGATCTATAGCCACACCGATGTACAGACTTTTAAAAAAAAGACACTAATCCTGTCCAGTCTATTGCACAGAAAAGGTTTCAAATAGTGTGTTCATCTGAAACAAAGAGCAGCTTCTCTTTGTTTGTGTTTTGAGTTTTACATTTCCTTCGTTTCTTTTCCACAGGCTTTATTTTCATTTTTACTCCCCCATCCTCGAGCGCCTTTTGGGGGAAATGTTAAAGGTCACATTATATATAAAATACACTTCACCGTGTTTCTCTAACACTAAGATGTGTCTCTAGTCTGTCTACAAACCCCCCTCTATCCTCTCCGTCTTTTGCCTGCTCCACTTTTCAGAAAATGTGTGCTCAAACAGGCCGTTTGGAGATTTTCCCTTCATGACATCACAAAGGGCAGTAACCCCTCCCCCAGGTGGGTGACACTCCCACAGCTAGGTGTTTGTTCTGCCCTCTGAGTCTGCCTTCTCACCGTAAACAATAGGACATTCACAGTTCATTTACATTTAAAGGTACAGACGCAGAAACAGCCTGTTCTGAGCAGGGCTGAAATAGAGGGGTTTATAGACATGATCAAATACAGGATCAGAGTGGATTTAGAACAAGAAACTTCACACACATGTTTTGAGGAACTCTAACATATCAGAAGTTGTGCAGCCCTCATGTTTGTGTAAGTGTGCTGATAAAAAACATCTTTCTGTTCTTTTCCTTCAGTTTGAATCTGAAATCCTCTCCCTGCCATCGTCTTAGTTTCAGCTGCTACAGAAGGAGAGACAGAAGGGACTGTTTACGTTTCTTCAGACTGAAGAGAAGAGTTTTTACTCACCGGTCTCAGTTCTGTCGAATCCCACTCCAGATACTCGGCCACATGCACCATCTGGTTGATGATTCGATCCAGCTCCTACAACAAACAAGAAAACATTTCAAAGAAGACGAACAGATGTGTGACTCGCTACTCAAAAGTAGAAGAGCGGCAGAAGAAGAGAGGAAACGTTTCCTGCTCGTGGTGACACCGAAATGTGTTGTCACATTTTGTCTTTGTATTTGGTTATTTTGTATGAATATTATACAAACGTAGCTGTGTTTTGGTTAAAGAAGTTATTTTGAAGCTGTTCCTGTATATGCCACAAGGGGGCAGCACCTCCCCTGCTGAGCGGGCTGTTTATCGTCTTTGCTGCGCTCTGCTTCAGTCTGGCAGAAGTGAGAGAAGAGTGAACAAGTACAGTCGACTCAGTGTGTTTTCTTTGTCTTTTACAGGTTAGTAATCAAAGTTTAAAACACAGAACTTTCACATGATGATGCAGATGTAATTCCACTAAAAGTTTTATTGGTTCTATAACACTTTGTTGGTCTTATGTTTCTAAAGAGAGTAAAAACGGTTTTGAGTGCCTGCATGCTAAGAAAAGTGCCTCGTGCATGACCGTAACTCTCAGTTTCAACTCCCTTCTGATTTTTAGTTGGTTAAAAACGCTCATGAGGTGGCGCAGTGGTTAGTGCGCGCGCCCCATGTATGGAGGCTGTCGTCTCAAGTGGGCGGCCCGGGTTCACTTCCCACCTGTGGCTTCTTTCCCACATGTCATTCCCCACTCTCTCTCCCTGATTTTCAACTCTATCCACTGTCCTATCTCTCCATTAAAGGCACAAAAAGCCCAAAAATAAATCCAAAAAAACTCTCATGATACTGTGTAAAATAAATAATAAATACATCATTCATTCTGTTTATGTACAAAAGTAAGATTGTTGCATCAGTGAAATGTTATTTGATTATCTGTTAGCTCTGTCAGTTAACATGGGTTTTTCCTATTGAAAATATTGCTAAGAGGCAAAATGCTAGTTTAGGTAATTTAACCATAATGAGCTTGTGTTTACATGGATGTTAATTTGAACAGTAAAATTAGATTTTGGATTTAGTGAATTAATCAGAGTGTCTGAAATGCACTTAAAGAAGTAACATATTTTGTATGTTTTGCTTTTTAAACATTTGTTTAATAAAAGTCTGGCAGAAGCGAGAGAAGAGTGAACAACTACAGTCGACTCAGTGTGTTTTCTTTGTCTTTTACAGACATACTTTAAGCTGTAAGCAGGTTCCATCCCGTACCTGTTACACATGGCGTACCCTGTTGGTTGTATTAGGGGACATATTATGAATCCACTTCTACAGTGTTTTTGAACATATATGTGGGTAACCTGAGTGTCTGCTGACCCACAGCATGTGAAATAAACCCATCCAGTCCTTTGTTTGTGGTCTGCTTAACTCTTACAACACAGTTAAAAATGCTCAGTTTCTAATGTGCTCTCCTTGTGATGTCACAGTGGGATTTTGATAAAGAAAATCCACTCCCCTCCCCTGATATCTCCACCCATAGACTCCGCCCCCAGCCTAGAACAAAATTTTAGCGCAGGCTGGCCATTTTTATTCTCGTTAGCGAAGGAGTGATGTCTACGGGGAAAACTCAAAGGGGGGGGGGGCTCATTGCATTTAAAGAGACACACACACCAAAACAGAGCGGTTTGAGAGAGCTGGTTTATACAGGGTCACAAACCTCCTCTGGTGCTTGATTCATGTTATATTTTGACCAAAGCACAGCACAGATGTTTCGTTTAGACCACAGGGGACTCTTTGAAAAGGTGGAACAGGGGGATAATTTGTCCTCTTTAAACTTTTAAAGATTTTAAATAAAGTGCATTCTCGTGGTTTTCAAACACGAATTGTATCGGCTGATATTTTGATGAATTTTGAAAAGCCTCAAACAGCTGTGACTCTCTGCACTGACTGTAAACATCAACAAAGCTTAGCCACCATGACTGTACTCAAACCTGATCTCGTGACAGAGGCCCGACTGACCACAATCTACATCAAAGACTGTATGTGTGCTCTGTATTCCCCTCTAAGAGAGAGATGATCTGTTTATGTTCTCACTTCAGCACATGGTGAAACCCAACGTGTCATCTGCAAAAACAATGATGTCATGTCAACAAAAAGCTCTGCAAGAGTGTGTGAGAGGGCAGAGAGAGAGACCGAGAAGGACACAACAGGGAGAGGAAGATGGTGGAGAGAGAGAAAAGACTAGAAGAAGACACTCACCGAGCTGTCCAGGACCCCGTTGCCGTCTGTGTCGTACAGCCGGAACATAACTAGAGGGGGACGAGAGATGAGAGACCCCATGGTGATTCAGATTTTGTCACATTATCAGAAGCTCTTTGAAGAATTTACTTCTACTCTCTCCGCACACGGCCGCAGGGTTAAAGGAGCGACGTGTGCCTGGGCAGAGATTAGCCTCGTGAGCGAGCACTAATTTAGACCGAGACGTTAAGAATTCTACGGGGCAGAGCGAAGCTTAAGCATGACTCTGACGTTCCCTGTTTGGGAGGTGTCAGCAGTGTGTGAGAGAGAGAGGCTCCGGGGAGGCAGCAGGACAAGGAGGGAGCAGCCATGTTTCTCCTGCTGACAACCTGACAGACATGAAGACCTGAAGAGGCCAGAGAAAACACACACACACACACACACACACACACACACACACACACACACACAGAGGGGCTAACTATCTGCCTACATCCCCCCTACACACACCAGCCCCTGAGACTCACACTCCAACTTGTCCTCAGGTGTCCCCCTCTCCAGCAGGGAGAGGTAGCAGACGATGTCCTTGAGAAAGACCACCTGGGGCGACGGCAGGGGGGAGCCTTTCTGGGGCGACGGGCTCCTCCGCAGCGACAAATGTTTCTCTGAGTGACTCCTATCTGTTGATGTAGAAAACAAAGAAATGTAATCTGTGGATTCCTCATTGGAAAATGAGTTAATTAGTTAAGTTCATTAATATGAAGCAGTTTCAAAGAACTCTGAGCTCCGGAGGTCAAGATGATGAATTGATTTCTACAGATCAGACAGAGGATGGAGACGCAACAGGCTGATGACCCAAACATTGCAGCGTGAGGTGACAGGACTGGCTGCCTAAGATGAAGTTATACACGAAAGAGTACAGAAGACTGAAGGGGCCAAGAGTAAGGAAAACAAATGACAGAACGATGAAGTGTTATTCTGCAAGTGTCAGGAATAAAGTCAGATGTTGAGAATAAAGTTTAATTGCGGACAAATTCAGGGAGGAAGTTTAAAGCAACAATCTGTGACTTTTCCTCTTTCAAACAGTCGTTTCAAAGTCGATCTAATAGAACAACAGGGAGAATGGTGTCTCTCTCATGTCCACAGAGCGACCTGGTCGCCTGTTTTCAACACAATGGAACTTTGTCAGCGGGCCGAGGTCATCTGGTGAGAAGTGCGTACGTCTTTACGGCGCTAGTTCACACAGCAGCCTTCAGCTACAAAGCAGCCAGTTAGCTAGCTTGTGCTAGCTTGTGCTAGCGTGCGTTAGCTTGCAGTGTAGCTACAATCAGTAAACATACACACTACATTCTGCAGGAGGAGGGGCCCAGTTTGAATGTTTACAAACATTTCTACTGACTCCATCTTTAACTCATTGAACAGTCATAAGGAAACTTTTACCAGAGAACTGTCCTCGCTTCACCTCCATACAAGGACAGCAGCATTGTTTCCCAAGAACAGGTAGTATAACCTTTTATTGCATGTCTTTTATTAATCACTGGCAGAAGGCCCAAGGACTAAATATTTACTGGGACTCTGGTACAGAAAGTCCATAACCAGAGTCCATATAATGTTTTTAAATCTATTTATTGAGAATTGAAGGCCTTTCAATCATTTAGGTTAGAAATGAACTGTACAGAAATGCATGCTTTATAAACTATTATATTAACCTAATGTGCTCACTTACAGCTATATTTGAAGGCAGTGTTGAGATTTCTTATCCACGTCTGCCTTCAAATCATTTTTAGTTTTCAAAACTGAATGACGGCGTACTCCAAAGCCAGAAATCAGTTAGAGAGGAATAGTTTAAATCAGGGTTTGACGTGAGTAACTCCAACTCCTGTGAGAGTTTTACTACAGAGGCAGACATACAACAATGACTTTATCTGACTCCCTAATCCCGTGATAGCAAACTATTTTTGGTTGTTTCTTTAAGATCACGACTTACTTTCACGTTATCTCAGTATAACGACTGTGGTTTGCCTGTGTTTTAATAAAATTATTAAATTCAAGTCATTATCGGGGAGCAAATAGACTAGCGGCTAGGTCGCGCCCCTTGTACAGATTTATGTTTTGCCTTTCCCATATTCTCCTCTGCTGTTTGTTTATGCATGCTGGTCTGTGTAGCGTGTAAGTCAAAGTGTGTATCTGTCAGTGAATGAAGTAATGATCAGCTGACGGTATGACCACGCACCTGCAGTCAAACTGTTAACTCCTGATTGGTCTCAAGCTTCCGTCAATTCCGTCTGTTAATAACCATCAACCTGATTATCTGATAAGATTATCTGTTAAAGCCACTCCACTTTAGCCTCGATCTTAATCCACACGATGAGCCACACACCTAGTTTAAGTGTCCTCAGAGAGCACGGAGCCCTCCTGAAGGCAGACACAAGGGGCAGGGGTTTCAGATCCTCACTTTAAAGATGGTAAAAGGACTTGAGCTTGTAGAGTTCTCTTCTAGCCTAGTCAGAAGACTCAAAGCGCTTTTACACCTACACATAATTACTTGCGAAACATGTCTCCCAATGACCCATTTTCTCACTGTTCCAGTCTTCTACCTGCTGTGTTCACACATCGATGTACACACAGATGTTTTACTGGGTACTGCTGCAGAAAAAAGTCCCCTTAAAGTCGAGGTGAGCTGATTTCGACATTACTGCTCACAGGATTTTAAAAAAGAGTCTTGTGTGTCTCACCTGGAGAAAGTTTTGGGGACACCGGTGACCTTGCAGGACCAGCGTTGGGGGTGAGCGCATTGCTGCAGCCTTCTGATGTTTTCACTTGGTTGTAGCCTGGTGACCTGTGGGGCCCTCCGGGTGTGAGGGCCCCCGTCCCTGAACGCTGCGAGGAGGAGCGGGATGAGCACGGGGAGGTGGTGGCTCCTGAGCCGGCTGCGCACATCACGCTGGAGTGCTCAGGTGTGTGTCGACCCATCGCTGAGAGGATGCTCTTCCCGTTCATCCCTGGAGGTTTGATGACCAAAACGATGACGAGGAACAAAGAAAGGAAAGAGACAGAGAGAGAAATAAAGGGACCAGTGAGGTGAAGAAAATCCAAAGAAAACAGTGTAGGATTGGGGAGGGCTGCACGAAGAGTCAAAATTCACAACAATCAAAATACGAAAAAAAAAGGAAGTAAAGCTACAACACAGCGGTAACATCGTACACCATCCACAAAGCAAGTCAAAATCTGCTCCACAGGCACAACACCAGGAACTGACACCGACACAAGAGCACACGGACAACGAAGCAGGAGGTCAAACATCCAGCAGGACTTCTGTCCCATAAAGGTGACATCACCCTGATTGACGGGCCACAGGGCTCGCTGTGATACCTGTAATGGGAGCACAGGCCACTTCGGTCTGAATAGAGATTCCTGCATCAATGGAGCAAGCTTCTGTGGTCGGCCATTGTTCAAAAGAAGGGGAAAAAGAAGAGGGAAAGACGCAGCAAGATGAAGAAAGAAAACTCTTGATGTCATGTTGTGTAATTTAAGAAAGAGAGCTGCATGACAAGTGTTTAAAGGAGACAGTGGACATGCAGAATAAAGCCCTTTAAATCACTGTTTCTTTTACATTTTGACAGTGTATTACACAAATCAAAAAGCCTGTAACAAAAGAACTGCAAGGCAAGAATGAATATGTAAGGACACGTTTGAATCACAGCATGCACAAGTGTCTGGACATGTGTTCATATAGTCTCTGAGCAGAAACAAAAACTACACCACATCAGCTTAAACGTCTAAGAAATTGTGACAACATAGCTCAAGGGACATTTGATGTCCTCTGGTTTCCTCTGACGGTGTGATTTGCACGTAAAGAACAGCACAGCAGCAGATAACTCTGATTATCTGATCCTATCAGTGTTTACTACAGATCACCACCAGGTGGCAGTGCAGTCCACACCAACCAGTGAGCTCCATGATTAACCTGATTTTTAAAGTCGTCCATTCATTTTATTCAAATATTTAGAAGTGAATTAATTAATTCACATTCCTCACTTGTGGTGTACATTTTTACCAAAACCAGTGCAAAGAAATACTAACTGTTGAATTGTTCACACAGCTGCCTGCACACTTTGTTTGTACCTGCAGACCAAAAACAATATCATATGAACCATCCAATACCTTCTATGAGTTTTCTTTATTTTAAACAGTTGGTGTATAACTTAATGTTGAAACCGTAGTTCAGTTTTTTCTGAATGTGGACCTGCATTCCTCATGGTGGTTTTATTGTACGCAACTTATGTTTATGAGGTGGTAATGTGCAAAAAACAACATAAAAAAAGAGAATTGTTTTAACACGCAACAAATCTTAAAATAAATTCTAAAAATTCACAGATAGTCAGTGAAGGGCAAAGTGAAAACAAAGACAGATGTAAACTTTTTCAGGATGAAAACCTCCAGTAGGAAGGTGGGACACATGAGGCTGCATGTGCAGACTTTGCTCAATTTCTTGTGATTTTTAGAAACAGGAAAAAGGACAGAAAAAAAGAGAAATACACTCAAATGAGGCCTGGATAAAGCTGGTACTGAGCTAACAGAGACACACTCAGCACGTCAGCACCAGTTCTGCTCCTCACACTGACACACGGTCACTCACATTCAGCCTCTCTGCACTTGTTGCCTCTTAGTTTGGTGAGCAGGGTTACCACAGAAATAGATTTCTAATTCAACAGTCCATCTGTCTCCTCAGCTGCTCTGCAACGAGGAGCAGACAGGCAGAGATGGTGCCAGAGCCCACGCAGCACTCACACCGAGGGATGGAGCCAGTTTACAAACTGCACAGAGCAAAGTGCAAGTGACCTACAACAGGCCATCATTTCTGTCTTCTGCTCCGGTCAGCGGGAAGTCCTTCTGTGAGTTTGTGGTGAATAAGCCGGTCTGCTTGGGCCATTTGCCTGAGTCAACTGGACATCAGTGTTCAGTTGTGTGTTTTCTTAAAAAATGTCAGCATGTTAATATGAATTCATTTGTTAAGGGAATCTGGGTTATATTCATTTAAACGTATCGCTTCCCTTTGAATCCTCTGATGCCTTTTCTGTAGTTTTTTTTTTACTTGATACTGACACTTTAATAACACTCAAATAATCATATGTAATAAGAAGCCAAACAATCAACAGCTTTTTGTTCATCTTTGCTAAACTCTTAAACTTGAAAAATATTAAGATGTGGCGGCCAACTTCCTTGCTGTCCCTATCACCCGTGTATCAGAGAAAGTGCGCGATAATCTGTTTTTTTAACCAAACAAGATGACTGCAAAAACCTAGCAAACTCTTTCCAAACAAGTGTGAGTGATACGATAAGAAAACATTGACTGTGTGCAGCTTTGTATTGATTTCCATAAAGGTCAGCTGCTTCTCAACGTTTTGTTAGCGCAAAACTTTCTGCTCGCTGGTTAAGGGGAATAAATTTAGACAATTTAAAGTTCCTGAGAGAGATTAACAGTTTGTGTGGTTTAACACCCTGGGTTGGGTTCCACTCCTTTGCCACGTTGTTCCCCACTCTTTTTAATGTTATTTAAAAATAAATCTAAATCTAAGAACATTAGCAATGTTGAAGCTCGGCCCTGTGCCAGCGCGTACCCAGCAAGCTGGTGGACTTAAATACGCTTGCAGAAAATCTGCATATAAATCTAATCAGAGCAAAGAAAACTAAACAACCAGTCACCCTGCTCTTTCTAGCTGACTGCCCTTATGCTGATTCCAAATTTCTCCATAAGACCGAAAAAGCACCAAAACAACTACAGCAAAATCAGAGGTGATGGTAAATGATTAGTGCCTCAGAGTGCTCCATGTATTGCAGTCTGAATCTGTTTAGCAATAAGGGGCCATCACAGTTTAAAACATGGGCAGTGCAGAACATTGCAAAGATAGTCTGCATAAGGCATACTGTGCCATTCAATTCATTGTATCAACAAACTGACACACAATCCAGTCAGTTTGCAAAGGTGCCAAATGATCATCTGACTGTGTTAGATATCAAGACTTTTTTCGCTTATGGTTTGGGAGAGGGAGATTGCTGCATAAAACCAAAATCTGTGGAAGATTATCATAGTGAATATGCAAGAATGATACAACCATGAACACCTGAACTTTTCTTCCAGGGAGACTTAACTTAAACACTAAAAGAACAGCCAGTCTAACAACATAAATTGAGCACACCGGACCATTGCTGGTCCTGGGTTATAACTTTGTGACAAATTTGATTAGTGGTGTTAAAAGGCAGAACTACAAATACTCAAACAGCCTACCCAGTAAGCTTGTTCCTGCTCGTGACGGCTCGGGGGAGCAGCCTCCCGTCTTGCTCTTGAAGGAGGTGAAGAGGTGCTGACACAGCTCCTCTGGGATGTCGTTCTCCAGGTATGTGGCCATGAAGAGCTGGAAGCCTTCATAGTCAATGGGCTGCATGAGAGAGAGAAAAGAGGTTAACAGGATCACTGAGGTACACCTGTGAAAGAAGTTGACACCGATCACAAATGGACGTTTATTTATTAGAACAATAAGACAACAGGAAGATGTGATGGACTTCACGTTGATCTGGCCTGAAATGAAGGTCTGCAGGAGTTTTTTTTGGATTGAAATGTGAGAAACACTAACAGCATGATGACAGTAGAAACTTTAAGCTTGAAGACAGTGAAATCCTCCATAACTGGTTTTATGGAAAGGCATTGAAGGCCAGTTAAATGACAAAAGCACATAGTTTAGAACTGACAACAGGAGGATGCTGACACAACATTTCTAGATGAGTTAAAATGATTGTCAAATGGGAATAACATTCAGTAGAATCTAATTTGAAAAAAAAGTGAGTAAAAACCTAAGGACACACTAATTGGCCAATGCCGTGACTAGCTTGAAACTCACACATATGTGCCCTAAGAAAGATTGATAAATGAGCGGTTCTCATGAACTGATGAAACTGGCCGATTCAAGTTCATTGCATCGTTATTTTAGAGTTAACTTGACTAGAGAGATCTCTGCACTTTTGTGTCCTGCATCACAGAAGATTTCAGGAGCAACGTCGTAGGAGAAAGTAAAGTTTGTAAGCTTGGGTTTCATTTACAAAATATACAGAAAAAATATGTTGGCAACGTTTTGATACAGAAACTTTATTCTGGTATATTGACAACCCCATATTTTGCAGAACCAGAAGAAAACCAAAAGTCAAAGGTATCGAGCGATCAAAACTCAGGTTCAGCTGTGAAAAGGCTTCTTTTATTTCAGCTTGACTTTACGATTAGAGAAGGCAGGAGATGAAGCTGTATCCAGATAAAACCTTTGGAGGCCCCATCGATAAAACATAAACAATGTTTGAAAAAAAAAAAGCAAACAAATAGAACAATATGTCATATTCTCATTCCTGAGCTGGAAGGCTAAATCTCCCCTCCCTTTGATCCTCCACACAGCGACATGTGGTGGTGTGTATAGCCCTGAACACATCGACCCCATGAACATTGACCTGCCGCTCTCTGGCTGGATGATGGTCCATCTGTAGAGGATGAGGCTGCTAATGTAATGCTATGTTATGTATGTTAGTGGACAGAATGTGCATGCAGTCTGCAGACACAGACACCACACAGCATGCAGAGCCACCGGGCCAGCAAGGCTTACTTGGTTCAGAACGTCTTGCTTCTGTTTAACGGTGAGAACAATGAAGAGGAAGAAGGACGGAGGGAAGGAAGGAGTGATGGAGGAAGGAAGAAAAAGGGTTAGATGCTTTGTTTGAAGTAACTTCTTTAATAGAGGTCTGAGACACATTTCTGCAGGGACTGTTTGGTTTCCCCCTGCTTCACTCACAAACACTCGAACGCCTGACAGCTTTCTCTGTTTCTGCCGACATACTCCGAAATCAAATCTAGTAGGTAATGTAATAGTAAAAGAACTAAAGTTGAATCCATTGTTCAGACCTGAAAACACTGCGTCCCATCAGTGCGCCTTTTTCTTCCTTAAAGATGGGAGTATTTTGACCTGATTATTTAGTCGTGCAAAATTTCTGCCCGATCGTCTGTCAATAGTGTGTACACTGTGGCATCACATCTGATCATGGCCCGATCAGCCGTCCATGAAAGGAGGGATGATTTGCTGGCATGTATGAAATTTTGATTGTACCACTTGAGTTTCTTAGTGATGCAGATTGAGTTTAAAAGAGAGAGAGTTCTGCTGGTGTTCTCTGGTCCAAACAAATCCAGAGCATTCAGGACCAGAATCTAAAGTTTATCATTTCACTCACTACACATCTCACTGATTGGCCCTTTAAATAACTTTTTTAATCAAAAATCTGCTGGTCCTGATTAAGAACAAAAACGTAGACAATCATCTGAATTAAAAGTAATTTTCACAGTTTTTGCCAGAAAGATAAAAACTTATGACAGAATACAATTGATGAATTTAGAAATAGCTTCTTCTTTCCGATGATTTAAAAACCGTGTCTGCTCTCGATCACATCAGTGTTTGTAACAAAGTGTGTTTTCTAGTGGTCAAGATTTTCCTTCATGTTCAAGTAAAAGCAAATAAACCAAGCGTACATCAGAAGTCCAACTAAACCCGTATCCTCCTGGGAACATTGGGTTCACACCAAATTAGGACAAAGTAAAGCGGATCTCTTTTGCACGTCAGGACTTAGTGGAAAAATGCTTCTAACGTTCTCGTGTTCGGCAGGTTGGAGGCAGCTGTAAGTGACGTCTATCTCAGAGTAACAAATGAAGAAGAAGATCCTCCATTGGTGTTTTTCTAACCCAGCCAGGTTTGATTCACATCACTCTCCTCTCCTTATTTGGACAAACATGCCATGAGGATTTCATTAGCTGTGCATCGTGCAGGAGATCAGGTTCAGACGTACCATACAAAACAAACACACACAATCATCTAAGATACCAGACTACAAAAATAGAATTCATAAATACTAAAAGCTGTGTCAGGTTTTGACTGACAGCCTTAAATGTAAGCACACCCAGATGCCTTTGTGGAAATACTCGTCCCCTGGAAAACACGTTTACCCCAGAGTCTACCCAGCGATTATTTTCCCTGCAAGCGAGCGAGCTCCCGTTCACGGCTGCCATTCTTTGAATATCTCCCCGGGGCAGCTATGACACATTTACATGCTTCGCTTAATCCTTTTCATTCTGGCAGGGCTGTCAGGGTGATTTGATTGGCTCTCTTTTGGCATTAAAAGGTAGCACCGAGGGATCTACTGTCCCGACAAGATCACAGATCAGAAGAGTGGATCGGTCTGTGTAACGTTTAATGTTATCAGAGAGAAGAAATGAGGATGTCCTCTGTGATGAGCTGCAGCTAACAGGAGGACTCAGTCAGACATGAACAGAAGGAGAAACACACCTTAAGCTTAGCATTGCATAAAAGGTAGTTTGTGGGCCACTGATCGTTTAGTTTTTCCCACTGCATAGAATATAATTGATGTAATTAATCTTTAACAGGGTCCTGCTGTAAGAAGAGAAGGCAAACTAAACAAAACGCTTCACAAAATTAAAAATAGTAAGAATAGAAAGAAAAGTTCTGCATTATAATTCATGTTCATAGATGTTTCTATTGAAGGTCACATGATCCTCTTCACCATGTTTCTCTGACACTAATATACAACCCCCCCAAAGATTAGAAAAGTCCATCCTCTGTGTCTTCTGCCTGCTCCAATTTTCAGAAAATGTGTGCTCAAACAGGCCGTTAAGAGATTTTCTCATGACATCACAAAGGGCAGTAACCCCTCCCCCAGGTGGGTGACACTCCCACATCTAGATGTTAGTTCTGCCCTCTGAGTCTGCCTTCTCACCGTAAACAATAGGACATGGAGCGAGAAAGCCAGCGACACCCAAGCCTGTCCAGAGAGGGGCGTGGTTACTTTACTTTATACTTTATTTCAGACCCATAGGTCCATATCGTTATAAAAAAGCACAGATATAAAAATATATTAGACACAGCTCATTTACATTTAAAGGTACAGACACAGAAACAGCCTGTTCTGAGCAGGGCTGAAATAGAGGGGTTTATAGGCATGATCAAATACAGGATCAGAGTGGCTTTAGAACAAGAAACTTCACACACATGTTTTGGGGAGATCTGAGACTTATTTAAACTGGTTGAAGAGGAGGAGGATATGTGACATTTAAAGTTGTTGTTTTTTATACAATCCATGATCAGGCTTTGTGCCTATAAAGATCAGCTGACCAGAAGCGGTTGCTTTACGATTTATACTGACTCACTGAACATCTGATTGAGAAAATAAAACCTTGCATGTAACACAAACCCCTTTGGAAGGTCTTATTATAAAAAAAAATTCATATTAAGAGGATATTAAGCTGAGGAACATCTGACCCTGTGAACAACGATCCTCTCCCTCCTCTCACACGACTTCGCTGGATGTCTCTCCCCTAAAAACAACATCTCCGTCACGTCAGCATCTCTTCTCTCACACAGCCAAACAACCAGCAACCGACGCTTTCAAACGTCTTCACTGTACGAGGATCGTAAACTACTACAGTGTGTTTTTATGTGGCATCATCATTTATGCATTCACTGAAGACGGCTGCACTTTCTGATAAGTTCATTGTGTCTGATGGAGCCCTTAACTTCTGCACGAGAAGGGAAACCCTGTAGCTGTCACTGAGAGTTATGGCGCCATTGTTTGTTTGCTAATCTGCTCAATGAATAAAACCAAACACTACTGATGGCTACGAGTGTCAATCACTGTTTTTCTCTTCTTCTGCTGTTGTTAATCTGACGTTTAATTCTTTCAGAAGAGGCTAAAAATAAACGGAATAAAAGCAGAGAGCGCAAGAAAGAAAGAGAGGTCGTCGTCGTCGTCGTCTCCTTTTGTTATCAGCTGGCCGGGTATAGATTCCACCACAGATGGCACAGCGGAGGGATGAGTCATTAAAGGGTACATGAACACACACACACACACTTAAACACACACGTAAACACACACTGATGGATGGCGGGAGCAGCATCACACTGGTCATCTTGGCGCCAGGTGACAGTGTGGTCGCTGAGAGGAAACCTGAACATAAAGTCTGCTTTCTTGCGGCGCCAATCGTCCAGCCGAGCTGTTTATCATCACAGAGAGCGAGGAGGAAGATTAGTGCAGAGAGGGCGTGATGATGAAGAGGGAGGGGGGCGTGAGGAGAGGGGTTCATAAAAAAACTATTGATTAGATTTAACAAATTTAAAACATTTATTACAAGCCACTTTATTTTATCTCAAAAACTGCACTACCTCTTTTCAGACTCAGGAATTACTTAATGTTGAAGTTGTAACGGGACGCGGCTTGACGATGCGGCCACCGTGAAAGACTCGTTATGACAGACACGGCGCTGCTTGTCAACAGGCAAGGCAGGCTTGGGGCCACAGACCATTAGGGGGCCCCAGAGTGCTGACAAACGTAAACTGAAGCAACGTTCAAATTTTGCAACAACAGTAGAAAACCTTTCTCTCCTGTCTATAGGAGAGAAAAAAGAGGAGTGATCATCGGGACACTGGCCGACATGATGGGGATGAGCACTGGTTGGAGCCCCCCCCCCCCCTAGATTTTTGCCTATAGGACCCCAACAGACTCTAAAATAGCCACTGCACAACATGTTTATCGTTGCCATGGAAACACAGGAGAGGGGAAAAGAGGGTAGGGGGGGTCTGCTGATATGGGAAAATCAGAGAGGAAGATGTGACAGAAAAGTTTAGAAATAAGATATCAAATGAGTCTGCATCGACTGCTGTATTCTGCAGTCGTGTTGGAGCGGATCGTCTGACGTCAGGAGCCAAAGTTGATGCTGCGGGTGTGTCTCCAGCGCAGCCTTCGTCTAAAAGCGATGGCTGTGACTAAGCATTGCAGTGATTGATATTACACTGAATCAGAGGAACTCAACAAGAAGCCGAGATCGTCACACCACGCAGCTGTGTGCGCATAGGCAGCAGGAGAGAACATGAGAAGAAAAGAGAAAGTGTAATTGATTTCTGTGATTCAGACACACCTGCTCGGGGTTGTATTTGCAGAGGACTCCTTCACCATGAAACTCCTCCAGCATATCCTTCAGCTTCTTTGTGGAGTCTGAGGAGGACACAGAGAAAAACAGGATTCTGTCATTAGTTCATAGACTAAGTCACTGACATGTCCTCGTTTATAGGTCTATACTGAACATGCTCCCCTCATACTTGTGTCATTTTATTCATATGAAAAGTCTTCACTCTGAGACTCAGTCACTAAACGTCTTTTTGTTTTCCGTCTAAATGAGGAAACGGAGCTTCAGGCACGCTGGTCCTGCAGGAGGATCTGTGTCTGGGGGAGCTGCTCTCTTTAAATCTTTTTAAAAGTAGCTTGACGGTGATGGAGGAAGTTGCATCAGGTGAGATGCTTTGAATACAGATTTTTCTTCTCTGTGACTCACAATGTGTTATTCTGTGTTTTCTAACTGTACAGTAACTGTTTATTATGCTACTGACCCTCTCGGCCAGTACTCTCTTGTAAATTAGATACTTAATCTCAATGAGGTTTCCCTGGATAAAAAAAAAGATGCATTGATAAATTAACAAATCAGTAAAATCCTAAGAATCTCCACAGTTCTGAATTATTAACGCACTTCCAGGGGTGAGAAAAGTCAATATGCAGCCATCATGCAGCAACAATCTGTAACTTTTCCACCTTAAAATGATCGTTTGCAAGCAGCAACCTCTGGTGTTGAAAGATTAAGACAGTGTGGAAGTGCAAATTCCTGCAGTTCCTGGAGTGTCCACTCGAGGCTGGCTGCAGAAGCACAGGAAGTGACATACACACCCATTCAAAAAAACTTGTTTTAACAGCAGAGATTAACATGTTTACAGCCTGGTTCAAAAAACCAAATAGGTCTGATTAGCTCATGTCTCCATCGGCTCACACTGTACGGGGGGTGAATGTTTTGATGACTCAGCAGTTTTGATTTGATGAAGGATAAGAGTTATTCACAATAAGGTGTGCAGCTGACATGATTGACAGGCGGGCGCGGTGTAGCGGTTTGTTAGGAGGCTTAAAACCCGCCTCAGCTCCAGCTCTCAGTCTGTTATTAGGTTGACTGAAAGTTAGACTGAGACAGGATTTCCAGCATGGAGCCCGCCATCAATGGGACTCCGGCGCCCCCTGCAGGAACAGACAACATTCAACTGACATATGAGCGTCTCACTCATGTACACAGAGCGCCATGTCTCCTGCTTATAGCATTATGCAATTTTGGCAGCAGGCTGCGGTTTTCTCACGAGAAATGCATATGGCTTTATTTACATGAAACCACTCTGCGTACGAGATGCCTTCCGCCCAGTGTGCTGTTTACATCCAGGTAGTAGAGTGGGGTGAATGCAGGCTCATTAAGCACAGCTCCAGCTAGTGGCAGGAGGCTGCATTACATCTGGGACACAATAACTTAGTTATTCTGGTGCAGACTCGTGAGGGTGAAGATGATTAATCATCATGTTTATGACTCTCTTATCAACATTTTTATTGTTATATGAACACACATTACGCATCCCGTCATGACTTCAAACGTTCTTAACTGATTCTCATAATAAGGACCGTCATGGAAGTGTTCACGTTCTGCTGGTCAAAATGTTCCTTTGTATGAACTGCTTTGGTAAAAGTGATTAAACACGCTGCATCTCATTATCGAATGTTCTGATAAATACTCATCTGTACCAGGAAGTGCTGCATCAGTGGTGCTGAGCCCGTGAGTCACCGTGTTTAGGGAAAAGTATGACAGGACAGGCTGTCTTTCTCACTTTAAGACGCTAATCCCATATCCATACACACACACATCACAGATCCTCAGTCCAGCACACTGACCACAATGACCCCCTCCCACGATCATCTGTCAGACAATTAAAGGAGGGCTAATGTACACGTGTGCATTGGCAGATCTCCACGGCATCTCCATAAACACACACACAAAAACACACACACACACACACACACACACACACACACACACACACTGGAGACACCAATCATGTTAGCTCACATAATCAACTCAGTATGACACTTCACTTCATTAGATGTAGTGCTCACAGCTCTGCAGCCTTTAAAGCTTTCCTGTTTGTGACGTCCTGCTTTAGACGTGAACAATGACAGAGAGAGAGAGAGAGAGAGCGCAAGAGAGAGAGAGAGAGGGGGAGAGAGAGGGAGAGAGGGGGGGAGAAAGGGAGCGAGAAAGAGGGAGAGAAAGGGAGAGATAGAGAGAGTGAGAGAGAGAGAGAGAGAGAGAGAGAGAGAGAGAGAGAGAGAGGAAGAGCGTTATGTGAGCTGCTGTGACCGGAAAAGAACACCCAGCAGCTGAAAACCACCAACAATACAGTCTGTGTATCACCTGCATCATCACCTGCTCTACACATCTCTGTACACACAAACACAGATCAGCTGTGAATATATTTCATTTACTACATTTTTAAAAGATATCCGAAGTCATCTAAAAACTACGGAGCCCCTAAAGGGACATAGGCAGAAAAAATAAAAATATATGTTTCTCGTGCGTAACAGAAACTAACCGGTGCTCAAGTGAAAATTTCTCATGCTCATGTGAAAGTTTTGCGTGCCTAAGAGAAAGTTTCTGGTGCTCACAAGAAAGTTTTCTCGTGGGCACCAGAAACCTTCTCATGCGCACCACATATCAGGTGCACAACGGAAACCAGTCAGTCTTATCCTTCTGTGTTCTTGTGATAAAGTACAGGACTTGGTTGAGCTATATTTTAACCTCGGACTTAATTACAAGGACATAACTGCTTTGCTTGCGCACCGTCACCGTTATTTTGTCTCAGAAAGACATTTAAAACGGATGTTAAAGTCTTGTCATCTGTTTCGGCTCAAGGGATACACCTACTTCAGTAAAGTTAGAAATATATTCACAGATTCGGCTTTCCCGGATCAATAACTCATCAGCGGAACATTGCTCTTACAAAACCGACACCTCTCTGCAATCACTCCCATGATTCCCCAGCAGCCTCCACTCCATCTTTTGTTGTTTTCTTTGAGTGCCCACTGCTGGAGCATTTGAATTATAAAGACATTATCCTGAAAATCTAAAACTACTCGTGTTTAAAAATGTCTTCAGGGATTCATTTATTACGAGATGGTTTCTAATTAATTAACGGATCCCTTCAGCTTCATCTGATTATATTCAGAACCTTTTAAAAAACACTTTCCTTTGTTGCTCGCTCACAGACCTCTCTCTCTGTAGGAACACAGACGGCGTCCTTCACAAGTCCTTGATTGATCGGCTGCTGATACACAAGCCTTCCTGTCGCTCGGCTCCTCATCATCAGTAACAATGAAACCTCCACTGCCTGCCGAGGCCTTCCCAGCATGCACATTTGTCATGTTTCCATTATAGTCTTCCACGACAGCTACATGGCTCAAGAAGAAAACGACCCCGCTGGACCACAGCAGCAGCAGCAGCATGATGGGTCAAGTGAGGATTATGTTTGGATAAATGTGTGTCCCCTCTGCAATGTGTTATAAGGAAGTACCACAGCAAGCAAACAAATCACTCAGCATCACCTCAAACGGGTCTCACAAGCGAGCGAGCAGCCAAATACAGTAAGAGCAGAAAACACAAAAATACACCGTCAGCATTTAAGACTTTGTGCCAGACAAGAAACTAAAACAAAGATTTCTACAATTATTTTAGCAGACGATGTCTGTCTGTATAATGTCAGTCCTATCACTATCATTAAGGTCGCCGGTGTTCATGAAAGAGCTGAGTCTTCAGCTTTTTCTTGAAGGGGGAAAGGGACTCTGCAGCCTGAATGGAGGTTGGGGGCGGTGACCGAGGAGAAGAGTCTAACTAGAGCAGGGGTCTCCAACAGGTAGCTTGGGGGGCAGGTTTTTAGTAGCTCGCCTACAGGTTGACAAACTATGTTAAAAAAAAAAGAAACATCTGACGACAGTAAATGCACTTCTTCCCACTAATCATATATTTGGCCCATAAAAACAAGTGTAAAGTAGTGATGTTTTTTTCTTGGGCCTTAATGTGAATGTAAGATTATTGATAAGCATTGGCTTATTGCAATTTCAGTGTACAGTGCACAGTGTACAAACAGTAGCTTCATTCAGCTGATGTGTGCTGTGTAAATAAATGCAAACGATGTGATGTAGCTCTTTGCCACTTTCATTTTTTAGCTCTCAGATGAAGAAAGGTTGGAGACACCCGATCTAGAGACTTCCTCCAGACCTCCACCAGATACGTGTGCGTTGTGTGTCAGCTCTGCTCCGGTACGGCTCCGTGCTCCCTCGACCGTCAACACCCACCGGCAGCATCCTCAGAGCGCATCAAGGCGCCGCACTGCCAGACAACTGGAGTGCCGAGACCAGGGAGTTCCTGCGGTAATTACAGGATCATGTGCGAGAGATAATGTGATGCAAGTCGTTTAAAAACTTTTTAAACAACAACACATAAGGTCATTGTTCCCAACCAAAGGAGTTAAAAAAGAGTGTGTGTGTGTCCTTGAAAAGGATGTGCGAGGTCATCAGCGATTTTGTGGTTTTCCACTTTCACAATAAGCTTCTCTTCGTCCAGCTTGTCGTCAGTGACCTCTGAAAACCTCTGACCTGTTGACTCTGGGCGTGGCTTCGCCCATTATGACGTTTAGTTGATGTAGTACAGTGAAGAAAAATCTAGCTTCAAACTGGAGTGTTTTATTCTGAAATAAACCGGATCTTTTAATGTTGTTTCGATGTCTGACTTCCTGTGCTGTGCTCCGGCATCCTGCAGAAATAGAAAACTTGTGTATCTGCTGCAGAGGACTCGGGACTGACAGAGATGGGATGGAGCTGGACGTGGAGCCAGCGGAAACACACACACATTGGCTTATCCTGAATGGACTTCTAAGTTGTTCGAATTAAATTGAACTTTGTTATTTTGTCCTACTGAACTTGATTGATCTAATGCACGAGTTGTGGCCAGGAGAGTTGGTTTAACCCTCTGGTTACCTGTGTCCATTTTGTGGACATTTCAAAACTTATTTTACTGATATTTTGGTCATTTCTGATGCTATGGCTTTTATTTTTCACACAGGTGTCTATTTTTACTCAATTTTTATAATTTGAACAATTCCAGTTATAAAAGGCCTATAATGCTCAACACAACATCAAAGATGCACCTGCAGAGAAAACCGTGAAAAAGCTAGATTTGTTTTGAAAACAACCTCTACAAGTTTATGCAGCTTCAGTTGCAGTCACATCTATAAATACATGCAGCTTGGGGTACTGGTCATTTCACCTCTGAAACCATGAAAAGATATACAACACAGGAAGCCAGTGATGCTGGGCGATGGCCTTCGCCAGGGTTGCCCCTTGTCACCGATTCTGTTTGCAGGTTTTCATGGACAGGACCTCAAGGTGCAGCCAGGGGGAGGAAGGTTTCCGAATGGTAGTTACCGTGAGAATGAGATCGCAGATACTCTTCTTGTAGTAGTAGTATAAGTCATCTTATATTATTTATTTATTTATTTGATGGAGTAAAAAATGTTATAGGATCATAATAATGACTAACATATTAGTGATCATATCAAAACAACAATGGTCTTCTTACACTGACTTCTGGTTAGCAGGTGAGATTCTTTTTACTCTTTGCTACACAAACAGAATAATGCAGAAAGATAAATGTTGTTGGTAATCTGTAACAGGCCCCAGACTGTGTTACTAGAAAAAAATACTCCTTGTAGTCTAGTACATTGTATGGGTATGTTATAAATATATATATAAATGTATGTGTATATGTATTTTTATTTTGAAAATAGTGCTATTATCACAATAAATGGCATTTGATAGGGTTAAAAGTGTGAAAATTAATAAATATTATACAGTTATGGTTAGGGCTGAAGCTGGTGAACAGCTTGATGTCACTTTTATTAGAAATTGATAAAAATATATATTCATTTTTGGCAGTTTAATTTATGTGTCCACTTTTTGGCCATTGGGTGCTATGTGTCGCATTTTATCAAAAATGTGACACTGCACAGAAAATGAAAATGTATTCAAATCAATATTTTTGGTGATCAATGACATGTACCAGCCTGTGGTATCTAGAAAATAATTTCCCATCTGGCACTTATTGTACAGGAAAAACTATTTTTTTTCAGTTTTTTCCATTAAAAATATTGGTGGCAGTGTGCATACAGAGTGGCATTGAAAGGGTTAAAAGTGTGAAAATGAATAAAAATGTGATAGTTGTGAACAGGGCTGAAGCTGGTGAAAAGATTGATGTCACTTTTATTAGAAATTGATAAAAGTATATATTCATTTTTGGCAGTTTAATTTATGTGTCCACTTTTTTAACATCCGGTGCTATGTGTCGCAATTAAATCCGGAGCGCCTGAGGGATGGTTTAAAAGGTCAAATTCTTCATCGTTCTTCCTCGAGCTCATGTAAAGTCTTTTGCTAATTTTTCAAGATTTCACACCAGAAAAAACGACCAGGCAAACAAACCTTCGACCTGTAAACATTAAGCCCCTTATCGTTGCTTTCACACTAAGCTGTCAGGAGAAAATAAAAGTGCATTCCTTTTTGTATTTGTGAGCATCACTTCCAAAGTCACCAAGTGAATCACTGAAGTCTCATTCAGACAATCAAGTAAAGCAAAAATCAGAGACATTAATTTAGTGTCAAAAAGAAGTGACAGAACAGTGCTGGTTCTTGATGACAGTTATCTGAATAAATGACCAAGAGCAGGACGCCGTATTCAAACACTGACTGGCTTTACGAGCAGTATAAAATCATTCCCCACATGATCAGATAATCGGACATAATTGCCCGTTGTGGTTCCACTTCATACTGCTCCATAAAAAAATGATTTATAATGGTGGTGTTTACCCGGGACAGAGCAGCTTGCGTGACTCCATTCATCATGACACACAGAGTCCAGCAGGAACCAGCGGACAGACCCTCTTTTGACTAACAAATGATGCTGCCTGTGAGGACACAGATAACCATCCAGCAGGCTAATGGGAGGCAATGTGACACAGATCATCCCAGCGGAAGTCTTGGTCTCATGTTTGTTTGTTCACCTTTTGATTTAAGATTGATTTTATAACTGAATCCGTTAAAACTCCCAGGAGGTAAGAACGTTACTTTACTGTAAAGGCCCTGACACAACAAGCAGACGGCAAAGAACTAGTGGAGACACCTTACGTCTTGGCCAAAAAGTTGAACTTGAACACACCGCAAAGACTACAGCTGACGGCCAACCACCACGTACGTTCTGCTTATGCGTGAGAGGAAATAACTCTCCATGCCAGCAGGGGGCGGTAGTCCGTTGTTCTGATACGAAAAGACCATTTTCACACCGCTGACGGTCACCACTCGTATTATAGGTAGCCTACTACTGGAGAATAATGTCTGATAAAAAGTTGGAAATGGCCCTCGGTCTTTTAGTGAAAAAAGAAAAGAAGAGGCGGAGGGGACAAATAAGGAGAAACCACACTAATGGGTGAAAGCATGGATACTACAGCTCAAGGGGCTTTCCTGAACCTGTGTCGAGAGCTGGAGAGAAATGAAACCTCCCAACAGCCAATCAGAGAGATTCATCTCACCGACACTGATTCAACATGTCGAATCGGCCAAAAAAAGGCAGACAAGTAGAGACGGGTAGCGACAGAGCCAGACACACCGCAGAGACTAGATAAAATAATCACTGGATATGCCAGTGAATATTTTGCCAGTCACTTTTGATGTCTTCAAACCAGTCAAAAAGTCATTCAGTGCTTGTTTTGATGTGATGTTGATAAAGTGATGGAAATACGATCAGGATTGTGTTTTATTTTGAAATTTGTGTTTCTTTGTCTGACTTCCTGTCTGGGTCGATCTGTACTGTCCAGATGCGTGCAGAGACGCTGTTTGTCAACAGGAAAGGCAGGCAACTGCTTGGGGCCCCAGACCAGCAGGGGGTCCCATGAGGGCTGACAAGCTTTGTGAGATTATGTTAATTGATGGATAGCCCTTTAGATGAACCGCCTATCTGAAGGCACTCACACTCGTTGCCCTGCTAAGCGTCGCAAACATTACCGCTGTGAAAACAAAAATTTGTGAATGAAAGTCAACAAATCATAATGAAGAGGAATTATCCGTCTGTAGGGGGAAACAAGGGAGAGAAGTAAGTATTATGTTTAATATGGATGAAAACTGGTTGGATCCCCCTGATAGATTTTTTTGCCTATAGGGCCCCATCAGCCTCTAGAACCGCCACTGGACGCGTGTATCTTCTTTTGCTCCTTTTCTTTAAAATCTCCTGATTTTAACTATTTGTTAAAGTGAAATAAGTGAGTGTGAGTTTGAGTCTTTTATTAGCTTTAAGTGGCATTTAAAGCTGAAGGTAAAGCATACATTGTGTTGCTGCACTCATTTCAATATGAGCTGCATAAGGCCTCTGAATGAAAACCACAGTATTTGGTTTTGCCAACAAGCTGCATCAGTTGCACACACAACACACACACACACACACACAAACACACACAAGTGCTGTATCGTTTAGGCATGCAGATACAATCAGCTTCTGCGTCACAATCTCCCAAACTCTCACGAGAACACAAACTGAAGTGAAAGCAGGTTCAGGTACTCACACTCGCTGTATTTCTGCAGCTGTCCGAACTCAGCAGGACTCAGGCAGACCCAGCTCCCGTCTCCCATGCTGCCTGAAGCCGGGGGTGGAGGAGGGGGGGGGGGCTCCTCTGTGTCAGTGAGTTTGACGTCCTTGAATGCCTCTTTGGGGATTGACGGTTATCCTTGAGTCAGGTTGAGAAATAAAACTAAGAGGAAGAGCTTTTGGGACGTCATCTCTGATTCACTTTGAGGGCAAACAGGAGGCGGAGAGTTGAAGAAGCTGAGGCCGCATGGAGCGCTGGTGATATTCAGTCAGGTTTTCAAGTTTTTATCTTAAAGCAGCGGGTCCTGAAGGCTGCTGAGGTTCCTCAAATATCCAAATCGTCACTTTAAATGCCAGAAAAATAAAGGTTTCAAAGAGTGTTTGGCAAACTATGTTGAGGTTGGCACAAGGTTTCTCAGCAAAAACTCTGTCTCTGACCTGCAACGAGAAGGAGAGAAAAGCAACTGTGAAGATCACCAAGTCTCTCTAAATTAAAAGATGTACAAAAAGGTTTACATTCACAACAGATGATCTGTTACCTCTCACAGTCGTTTTAATGGAAAGAGAGGCGAGCAGAGGAGAGGGCGAACGACAGCAAGATGTGAACAAAAAGAGATTTATAGCAGAAATGTTGGTGAACGATGGAGCCTCTGAACACTGAGAAAGAGGAGGAGGAAGAGGAGGAAGAGGAGGAGGAGAAGGGGGTAGAGGAGGAAGATAAGGAGGAGAAGGAGGAGGAAGAGGAGGAGGAAGACACCTCTGAGTGAAAATCTTAGCTTGTTAAATATTATATTAGAGTTAATTACATTTTTTATAATTTATGAAGTGTATGAATCAGTCAACGGAGTCACACGACAACAGGTCAGCGTTATTTGACTGTGGTCAGATTTAGTCAAAACAGTTTGCACTAAGGAGATATGACACAGACAAGGGTTCTAAATAAACATGACTTTGTAATTTGAATTGAGCTTGTGTAGCGCTTCTCTGGCCTTCTGACGACTCTTTTACACCTCAGGTCACACACATCCACAAACCGATGGTAAAAGCTGCTGTGTAAAGAGCCCATCAGTAATTGCTAAACCACTCATACACAATTCATACACAAGTAACCCCTCCCCCAGGTGGGTGACACTCCCACAGCTAGGTGTTTGTTCTGCCCTCTGAGTCTGCCTTCTCACCGTAAACAATAGGACATGGAGCGAGAAAGCCCGAGACACCCATGCGCTTCCAGAGAGGGGGCGTGGTCAGACACAGCTCATTTACATTTAAAGGTACAGACACAGAAACAGCCTGTTCTGAGCAGGGCTGAAATAGAGGGGTTTATAGACATGATCAAATACAGGATCAGAGTGGATTTAGAACAGGAAACTTCACACACGTGTTTTGAGGAGCTCTGAGACTTATTTACACTGAAGAGGAGTAGGAGAATATGTGACCTTTAACTCACCCAAATGACGACAAACAAATACATTAAAAAAACAAAATCTGAACACAGTAAGTGATGTCACAGTGGATCAGCTGTATCAGGCGTTGTCTACAGGTTTGTTAGAACAGTAGGATCAAGTTACTGTCAGGTTTGGTCCCTCCATACGTTTTTTATTTCTATTATTCTGTCTGTAAACACGGCTTTTAAAGTGAATCATTGTTCTTAGTCTCCTTCCCCTCTCCTCTGTCTGATGATCTCTTCCCTCCTGGACAACAAGGCAGACAGCTGTTGGCATGCACTAATGTGCTGCACATGTTTTAGTGATGTTACAAACACAGAGGGAACAATGGGGGTGGGGGGTCTACATGTATACGCAGTGTGAGGCTGACTGAGAGATGGAGATAGAAGCACGTGCAAACCGAGCGAACAGGGCCTCCCCCTCTGCGCAGAGAGGGATTCTGTTTTGCTCGCAAGGTTGCCCGGCAACTATGACGTCACTGAGAGCACGACAAAGAGAAGCATGGATACAGAGAAGAAGAGAGAGAGAGAGAGAGAGAGAGAGAGAGAGAGAGAGAGAGAGAGAGCTGCAGACACAGTGAACAGATGTGACTACATGATACATGCAGCAGTTCTGGACGTGTGTGGGTCTGCTTACACTTCTTCTAGTTATGTTAAAATACTCCAACACATTATCCACTTACAGGAAACAGCCTCCAGTTCACACTCTACTCTCATCTCACTGCTCACCTAAATACCCCACGTTCTAATTTAAAAAGGTGATAACGGCCTTTAAAGCGCCTGTGAGGAGATTTTAACTGGCCATGAATCTGACTGAATCTCTCTTTATGACCTACAAAAGCAAACAGGACTACAGACGTGTCACGGTTTGAGTTTGTTTCATGATTTCATTATCCATGTGTTCAGCTTTGTTTTGTTTATACAGGTATCTAACTCTTCCATGATTTCAGCCCCCCCTCTTCCTGTCCCCCTCCACAGATTCTCCTCACCTGCTCCTTCCCCTCACACACCTGTTCCCTCTTGCCTGATTAGCTCCCAGCTCTGCCAGATTGTCTCAGTGCATTGCCTTAGGCCTGGCACACACTGAAAGATTTTTTAAATGCTGAACGATTTTGAAAACTCAAGAAGAGGTTTGTCATGAACTCTCATGACAAACAAGACAGATTGAACAGTTTTGTTCTTATAGTGTGTGGAGAACAACGAGACGACCAACTCAGCAGACCGCACACTAATGGATTCATTCAACAACATCTCGCGCCGTCAAACACCACTTAAGACTAAACAAACATGGTGGTTAAGCTAAATGTGGCTAGCTGATAGCTCGTAGATCCATTCCTTTCCTCCTCAGTTGGATTGTGGTTTGTTTTACAGACACGCTGTAGAATATCAACAAGTTGGTCCTGAATTTATGACGTCCATCTAACTTTATGCTTCACGTTTGCTGTCCACCGTTCGTGGGCGTCCTCGGTGTTGTCCACACACAACAGGGTTTCCGGGGAAATTTCCCGAGCAGATCGGGGAGGTTAAAATCACTCCAAACAAACCTCACACGACAGGAACGTCTGGCAAGATAATCTGGCCTTTACCGACTTTGGTCGGAAGGGGGGAATCAGGCCACAAATCAGCCCAATTATCTTGTAGTGTGTACCCCGCCTTAGCATAATACATGCATGTCAGTATACGGCAAAGCTTCAGTGTCCACCACATGGCAACCTGCGTGAGCATCGACTCTAGAGAGAGGGGGTGGGGGGAGACAGCTCTCTACTGCAGAATTTGGACTGCAGTACCCGTTTTAAACACTAGGTGACAGAGTTACATATTGCTCCTTTAATGAACGGATTTCCCCTGATTAAAGTACAAAATTTAAACTTATCCATATTTTCAGGCATGAAAAGCGCTTGATTATTGGTTATTTGTACCACCTTGATTAAAACCATCTTGCCTTTCAATTCTTCTGACTAAGCCAAAACTATCAGGAAGCTGGAGCTGGACCATCTAATTTAGTCCAATAAACCACTCGGGTCTGCTGTTGTTGTGTCTGCACATTGAGCACCAAGAGGTGATCCAAGACGTAAAGCGTGTGGAGAGAGCAGCACTGCCAAATTAGGATCCTGATGATGATTAGAGCGATAACACTGAAGAGGAGGGAAGGTAAACAGAAACTGGAGCTCTGATTTAATTATGTTCACAGAGGAATGGAGACAGGTCCGCAGGCTGCACCAGAGGAGTCTCGCTCTAAGTTGTGTGTTTGGTTTGAACGTTGTACAGGATGCCTCTAACTGTCATTCCCCGTGCAAAGAGCTGAGCAGGATGCTGTGGGCTTGGCGGCCCCTCGCTGCAGGAAGACGGCGTCGAAGACCTGATAGCAGCTCTCGACTCAGACACACTCTCCTCTCCCTCGTGTCTGCTGCAGGAAGCCAGTGTGACCATATGATTAAATGGATACCAGCAGCAGCTTTTCTGTGTCAAACATCAGTCATTTACAGCGCACAGATAATCTGCATGATCCAAGCATTGCTAAATATAGACCTCCCGCCATAACTGGGTCGGTAGCTCACTGAACAAGTCTGCAAAACTAAAAATGTCAGCCACCAGTTCACACCTGTGTAGTGTGATGAGTTTTAGCTGAAACATCGCATTTGTTTGTTGTGTTTTTGTTAACTATAGGGCACATCTATCGGATCGTCAGTTCGTTCCTCAAATCTTCACAACGACCCGGCTGCATGTCATACTTCAGGAGAAGTCTTCAGACTTTAATCAGATCAGTGAAACCAGTCCAGAGGTGTTCATTGGGGAAACATATTTCAACGTATTTAGGTTGAAAAGAGAAAATGTTACAATTTCACGGCCTGGTGACTTATGAAGGAGAGGTAAAGGTGAGGGACGAGTCAGCTCTGAGTGAGTTTAGAGAGATTTTGGACACAGAGAATGCAGATAAAATGTTTGCAAAATCTGGCACATTTACTTTCTTGTGCTTGTGTTATTTTGTGCATCGTCTCTTCTTGAAACAAACATAAACGTACACACACAAGAACGACACTTGGACACTTAGCCTCGCCGGAGATCTTGCAGCTTAAATAGGCCGCCAATTGGAAAGAGGTGTTGTCAGGTGATTTTTGAGATGAGGCATGTCAAGTGTGAAATCAGTGCAGCTCGAGTTGACTGCCAAGATGTGCATTGACTCATTTATCATGTTAACGAACTCTTTAAGCTTTATATGTGTCCAATAATTAGAGCACATGTGCATGCAGTGTGAGCTCAGCAGCAGGGTGCCAGACTTTAAAAGCACACCTGCTGCAGCTTCTGTCCGCTCACTGCGTTGTATTTGCATATAACTCTGCGTGTAGGTGTGTCCGTTTGGAATCAACACCATCATCACGTCAGAAAAACAAGGAAACCAAACAGCGAGTGCGTGGAGTTTGTGTGGGCAGAGGTTTTAATTCTTACATCCTTGAAACCAAAGAGGGCTCATTTCTCAGTGTTAGTCACTGAAGCACTTCAATCAATTCAATCAAAGGAATCCTGTGGCAGGTTTCCTCCGCTTTGTTCACACAAATTAGACACTAGAGCGGCTCGTTAGGCTCTTTGTGCTGTTTAGGATGCTTAAAAACTGCTTTTAAGGCACCCCCACATGGCCGTTTTGGACACACCTAGGTGTGTCAGATATGATATTAGTTATCAGGTCAAACCAACTGGTGTTGCAGCGATGAAAAAAATCTTTGTAAAGTCCTAGAAATAAAACACAAATACGAGATTCTAAAAACACATCACACTTTCACGCACATTCACCCACATTCCTTCACATTCAGCTCGGGTACAGATAAAGATTGCACAATCATTGTTTTGCAGTGTTAAGTGCAGTTACCGCCCTCGGGTAGAAATCGTTTCTCAGTCTGTTTGTCCGGGTTTTCATTGTCCTGAATCGCCTGCCTAAGGGCAGCAGTTCAAACAGAGTGTGTCCGGGGTGAGATGGATTCTTATGAATGCTCTGAGC